TGTCAAAGGATCCTACCTCATATATATACATATAGGGATAGGTTATTTTGTCTACCCTTGCCTACCCCTTTCAATACCGTTAGATTACAATCTCATTCGACGGTAGATATTTGAAAAATAAAATAAATCCTTTTTTCTCATTCTTTCTCCTCACCTCCTGCCGCACTCTTTCTCTCTCCTTTCCTTTCTCTCTTCCCGGCGACGAAAATCAAAAATTCCGGTAACGCACAAATCAATTCCTCCAAAAAAAACATATATTCAATAAATAAAAGGAACAAAAAACAGAACACGATCAACCACCATCAAACGTGCTTATTTCTTAGGGTTCATAGAAAGTCGTCGCTTCCGGTAAGACGATGGAGTGCTAATTATACCTTTTCCTTTCTCTTCTTACTTAATTCCTATCAGACGATGGCGTGATTGAAAGAAAAACTGAATAAAAAAAGAGAGAAAGAGTTTATACATTCTAATTATTCTATTTGATTCCATATTTCCATCCAATCGAACGACCAATAAAGTTAATCAAGCAACCTTCTTGAGTACCACTTGCAATTTGGTCACATTTCTCTATGCATTTAATCTAACGATAATTAAAAAACACTACATATAGATAAGTTTATCAAATTCAGAAAGCCTGGAAGTTAAATGAGTAGCATTCAGAACGATTTTACCTTTAAATCAAATCATACATGTAGAAGCAAAAAATTAAAAACACTCTATATGGCTTTAACATTATCACCATTGCTTGTGTTCCGGATGGCCCAACAATTGGCGGCCCAATGGTTCAGGCCCAACTTCAGCCTCCTACCCACGTCAGCCCTAACAGCTGTCAAGGACACCCTCCAACCCCCAACGCGACGACTCTCCCTAGGAGAAACACCAAAATGTCCCATCTTGGGACCCTAACACTCAAAAGCGACCGCCACAGACACCATAAAGGGAAACTGCCCCTTTTGTCCAACGCTGACACCGCCAGGCGCAGAGGGCACAATGCTGCTATCATAGCAGCGTCTGTCACGCCCAACGCTGCCACCCGTGACGAATCCCAAGGAGGGTTGACCCCCTCCTCACCAACCCACATCAGGTGCACATCACCTTCCCCTATAAATAGCCCCTTAGGCACACCATAATCTTATCAGATGTATCGTTATTATGCCCATTAATATTAGTCACACCATACACACACTAGATCTCCATCATTGTTAGCTTGCTCCGTACTTGGAACAATACCTTCTAGCCTGGTTTATACCTTCGCTAGAGGTATCATTCATATAATGACATCATCCCCAAAGGGAACATAGTGGGCTTATAGATCCCATCGGTACAGCTTGAATATAGATAAGTTATATAGCAAAAATCAATTCTCTCAAATTCCGCCGATGGCTTTCTATGAACCCTAAAGGAATAAGCACGTTTGACGGTCGTCCTTTTTTTATTTATTGAATATGTGTTTTTCTTTTTAGAGGAATTGATTTTTGCGTTATCGGAATTTTCGATCTTCGTCGCGAGGAAGAGAGAAAGGGTGCGGCAGGAGGTGAGGAGAAAGAATGAGAAAAAATAGTTTATTTTATTTCGCAAATGTCTACCGTCGGATGAGATTGTAATCTAACGGTATTGAAAGGGATAGGCAAAGTAGGAGTAGGTAAAATAACCCATCCCTATAATATATATATATATATATATATATATATATATATATATATATAGGTTCACTTTTTCTGCAGTTACTGCAGATAAGTTATCTGCAGTAAGCCTAATGCAACGTCATTTTGGACAGAAATCATGGTATTTTTGTAATTTTAATTTATTTCAGGGTTATTATAGTCTTTATAATTATAATTTTCTAATCTTTCAATCTCAAAATGACGTCGTTTTGAAAGTAAATGCAGATAACTTATCTGCATTAACTGCAGAAATATTTTTCTGTATATATATATAGGGAAAAATATTTCTGTAGTTAATGCAGATAAGTTATTTGCATTTATTTTCAAAACGACGTCGTTTTGGTATTGAAATCTTAAAAAATTATAAATATTTAATATAAAGACTATTATAATCCTGAAATAAATTAAAATTACAAAAATATCATGATTTGTTTACTGTAGATAACTCATCTGCAGTAACTGCAGAAAAAGCGAACCCATATATATATATATATATATATATATATATATATATATATATATATATATATATATACGCGAAAAATATTTCTCTGGCAACTTGAGATAAGTTTATCTCCGGTCATCCCAAAACTACGTCGTTTTGTTTATTATGATTCTCTTTTTCTCTCTCTTCCTTTATCACCATTAATCCATCTTTGGGTTATGATTTACTAGCCGGAGATAAAGTTATCTCAAGCAGCTTAAGAAACGATAACTCCTATATATATATATATATATATATATATATATATATATATATATATATATATATATATTCAGAGTAAGACTTAGAAGTCTTACTTTCCGCCTCAGCCGTTGATGGACGAAAAATCAACAGTTGTCATTTGTAGTATAATTAATAATTAGTATAATTTCTTAAACTATAACCGTTAAATCAGCGGAAATCAATGATTAAAATGAAAAATAACACTTATAAATCTTATTATGGAGCGAAAATATCTCTTTCTTATATATTTCAAAGCGGATGCTTTTCAAAGTGGGTCGTACAAGATTAATGAATGCTCATATAGAATTATCTTATTTCATATTTCTTTTTATACGGGGACATCTAAAACTTTCATATTTCTTTAATAATATGTTTTTATTATAACTTTTATTATTTTTTCTTATTTGAAATTGATTTTATTTTTATTTTATCTATCCATACTGATTTAAAAAAATTAAAAAGTTTAAAATAATAATTATATTAAAATGACAAAAAAATAATTCTAATAATTATTGGCAAAAAAAATTAAATAATGCTTTTTAATTAAATATTTACTCATTTATTGCAGTTTTAAAAATAATTACACATTTATTGCACAATGTGACGCCTCTTTTGGGCGTCACATGTGACGCCCCATTGAGGCGCCTCACCCTAAGGGAAGACGCCCCAATGGGGCGTCTCATGTGTGCCCTATATGTACCCCTTTTTTATCATTTCAATTCTCACTATTTCACCTCTCTTTAACCTCTCTCTAACCACGGTTTGTGCTCCCGACCGAACGCGAAGATTTTCGTAGCGAAGCTCTGCCAACTTAGGTAAGTTCGTAATACCTGTTATGTATACGTTTAAATTAGAGCACTACCTTGCGAACATGTTAGGATTTATCGTATATTAGAGACTTAGAACATTAGGTAGTCACTTAGAAATTTTGTACCATGCTATGAATGTTGTAATGATATAGTAATTTTTTTGTTACGTAGTTATGATTATTAATACATATTTATGATGTTATTTTGTGATAGTGATTTAGAAAATAGTGATAGTGACTTCGTAAATTTTATATGATGTTATTAATGCGAGAGTGTATTGATAATTTTGTAGTTAGTTAGATGTGATGATTAGTATATATTTATTAAGTTATTAGTGACTTAGGGTTAAGTATTATGTCAGTATGATTTAATTTGTGTCCGATGTTTTATTATAATTTAATTACAAATAAATGCTTCTTGATGCTCCCTAATCAGGTTCTGCTTAAGTGCCATTTGGACATCTTTTTTTGTTGCAAATTCTTGGTTCACAAATAACTTGTCACCCAGTTGCTACGGACCTTGTATTGAACCCGATCCTGAAACCGTACCATCAGTGCATGATTCTTGTTCACTCCGATAACTCCAATCAATGTACGAATAATGCGGAATTCCTTGCCAAAAAGGAATAACAGCTTCGTCACCTGTATCTGATAATTAAAAGTTTTTAATACAAACTTCCTAAATCAGATATTAAATCAGGTATCAACTCAGGTATATACAAATTATATCAATTACCTTGATGATTACATAATGGGGCAGACACAACGTCAAGCAATTGCGGCATTTGCGCGACCACTGGTTCATGGTAGACTGGGATTTGAGACACACCCATCTCACCATCTTCATCTCCATCTGAAGCACTAGCATCCTCCGCCAGAAGACGTTCTTCCATTGCGATGTTTTCATCATCGTCTTCGTCGTGCATTTCCCAAGTTGGATCATTTTCATCTCCCTCAGAAATGTTACCAACTGGAGACGCATGAGCGGCAGACTTTGATGGAAGACAGGGAAATTTAAATCAACTGACATCACCGGTAATGGAACATTCTCCGCTACAGCGATGTCGACATACAACTCCAGAAGATCTATCCTTGACTGGTTGAAAAATTCTTCCATTGTCATCTCAACGTCTTCATCGTCAACCACTTGCAAACTAATGTATTTATCACATTGCCATAACCTTGTCGTGATCTGAGTGATACATTGGTTGGCTTGAAGACTTAACTTCTGCCGAATTCTCTGATGCTGTTCGCCAATGGTTGCGTTGCGTTGGATACGTGTCGGCCTTTTTTCACCTTCAAACATGACATCTCATCGATCTTCTACCTTCCTTCTATTGTAATATAACACAACACGAACATAATTAGAATTTGAACTCATTCTTAAATAGAATAAGAAATAAAATTCAAATGCTAAATTAAAGATGAAAGATTATGTATGTATGATGTTAGAAATTTTGGCAGAGAAGAGATATAAGATGAAAGAAGAGTGTGAAGAGCTTGTAAGAGTGGAAGGAGAATATATAGGGTGCACAATGTGAGGCCTCACATTGTATGGTAGATCCGTAATTATTTTTAAAACTGTAATAAATACGTAATATTTTATTAAAAAGCATTATATTAATTTTTTTGCCAATAATTATTATCACTAAAAAAATGTTAATTATTTGCCCTCGCTTTGCATATTGAGATTGCTGTCGGCATGTCACACGTGGGATCCACATGTTCCGCTTATTATCGGTGAAATCGAAGCACAGATGTCAGAACTGTTATCGTTCCGTCTAAGTCACAACAAAATTAAATTAGAAAAGAAACGAAGATAAAACAAAATTACTTTGATTTATTCAAAGATCTATGATTCAGAAGCCGAACGTTCATTATCTCATATTATTATTACAAAAGTTATGATTATTTTCATTTTTTATTTATTTATAGCATATATCTCAAAGTGTTAAAGATTCAAAGAAAGATTAACCTTGCTTGGTGTCATGGGACAAGTCTTAGACAAGTTACAAGGTAATGCTTATTTTACATTATCTGATTTTTCCTTTTCAGTTATGCATTTGTTTTCAGTTTCTGCTGATTCCCTTATCTGATTTTTTCAGTTTCTGCAACCTTTTCTTTTCTGGAGTGTTTTCATTTGTTGGCCACTTAATTTTTTGTTTTTGTTTTTTGAATTACCCTTTTGTGCTGAGAATTGAGGGTCAATTCTGTTCAGGACAAAAAAAGAAAAGGTTAAATCAAAGACATGAAAGATTTGTTTGTTTTTGTTTAAATCTATGTTTTATTTCTAAGAATTGATCCATTGATGCCTTTGGTTTTTGGTGTTCTGAATGTTGAAGGCAACTACTGCTCTTGTTTTTGGTGTTCTGAATGTTATTTGATCACACACAGACACATACTTAAACCACTAATCACTTAAATGGGTTGAAAAGAGGGATGGACCTTTTCTATTTGCAGGTTGTTAAGATATTTTTGTAAGCTATAGTATGATTGAATTTAGAGGCTGAGGATTGGAGCAGCATGGTTGCTTTTTGTGACCAAAATATCACGGGTTCGAGTATGGAAACAGCCTCTTTGCAAGAGGCGGCGTATAATTGACCCTTATTCCTACCTTTGCAAGTCGAAGAGTTTTGTGTACCAGGGTTTGTCCTTTGTAGTCTGAGTGTGTTGTCCATGAAAATTATGAAGTCTAAACTTGTGCCATTTTGAGGGATAAGTTTTGAGGACTCTTGTAATACATACTCCTTCCACTTAAATTAGAAAAAAATGACTCACCTAACTAATTTACTCAATCCATTTCTTCATGTTTAATGTCATGTGAATCCATGTCGTTCTAATTTGAGTGAGAGAAGTATGTACTACAGGAGAACTGAAAATTTACTCCATTTTGATACAAATTATGGCCAGTATCATCATTTATTCTATGTATACAGCAAAGCCTGGTGATTTGAGGACCAGAATGTGTGAAACTTACAGTTATAATAACTTTAATATGCAAAATGGGAGGACAAGATAGAGGCAGTGGGGGAAGACCAAGTATTTGGATTTGTTTGTGTGGCCCAACTTGAGATGTAGGATAGAAGGAAAACCAATTAAAGAGATAACAAGGAGAAGGAATTACAGATAAGAATCACAGAAAAAGGACTGGAAAGGGAAAGTATGAGAGTGAAAACAGTTGCAAAAATTTGAGTATTCACCAGCCAAGATTTGTTTAAATGATTACAAAGAGGTTCTAGACAGGCAAAGTGGAAAACCAATTTAACCAAAGATAGTTTGAGTTCTAATAGAATAAGATATGCTAAGTTATTAATCAAATGGCCTAAATTCAGGCAGGAGAAATTAATTTAATATCAATTCCTTAATCTTTCAAATTTTTAACCTGTAAAACTAACCTATAAATTATTAATGATTCTGTTCAGCATAATTGGTATTTCAATAAACCCACTTCCTTGATGATTATAAACATTATTATTCTATTTTGTATGAACTGGCTTTAATGATAATGCAGTTTTTATGCCTTTATAACCGAACATTACATTATTGCATAAGTAAGATACACTTGACTGGTAAAGTTGTTGGGCTCAATGCCCTTACTTGCATTTAATAGCCTTGCACTTTACACAGGTAAGGATTGGAGGAAAAGGCAAATAAGGAAGATAACAGATCGAGTTTTTGACCAATTAAAGAATCAAGTGCGAACAGTTAATTTGACTTTTGAAGATCTGTATATTGCTGTTTTACTTGTGTACAAGTAAGATGTCTGCTTCATAATTGCATTCAACATTTTAGCTTAGATGATATCCATTTTCTTAAAGAATTAATAAATTTGAATAGCTCTTCTAAAAGTGAGCTGTTTCTATGTTGTAGTGATATCAATAAGCTTATTCCTGGTCCCCATTTCGATCCTCCATCAAAAGACAAAGTCAAGGAAATCATGAAGGTACTTTATTGTGTTATAATGAGATTAAACTATTACTCTGCTTACTTATAAATATGAAAATTTTACCCTGTGGAAATGAATGTTTGCTGTGGTGCTTTCTATTATAACCATGTAATGCACTGTATGCATTTCTTTATCTTTTTAATGATAGGTGATGTTACGGAAGGGATTACTAATGGGGGGGAACCTGCCACTTCGAAAGTATATTCTCGCAGGATATACCCAAGGCAGCAGTTAGATCAGTTGAGGGCATTAATTAGGGACCAGTTTAGTTAGCAACTGTTAATAAGGCAGTTATGCCGGTTAGAGATTTGGGAGTGAAGCCTAGATAGTGTATATGTACAATGTAGGTTTCTGATTATTTTCGTATACTAGGGATACTGCCAAATCTCTAATTTATGGGAATCAATCAATTAGGATCAATTGTGTATTTTCTCTGAATTACGATTGATTTGTTTCCCTTTTTTTCATTTTAATTTTTGGCATGGGAGGGGGCGGGTTAAAAAAGATTGGAGATCCAATCAAATATCTTTGGTTAACCCCCTCCCCTCTTCTTTTTTTCTAATGATAGGTTACAACACATATGTACACCCCATGCGATTAAAAAGGGAAACAAATCAATCGTAATTCAGAGGAAATAAAAAATTGATCTCACAGGTAGGTGGACCTGTGCATTGTCCACCTTTCAAGCTCAATGGGCTCTTATGTGAAAAAGTGTGTTAGAGAAATATAAAACCATTAATATGACCTTCCTCTAAAAGCGTAACTTTTGGGTTGAAATGGTTCTTTACCGTATATAAGGGAGAAACTCTCTATTGATAGACACTTTTTGGAGAATTTGGTGTAGACTGAGGCTTTGCTCATTGTGAAGGAAGAATTCCCTTGTAAGAGTTCAACTCTTGTATTCTTTCATCATTGTTAATCAAGAATCCCTTTCTTTCCTACCCCACACATACATCTCTGAATATTCCCTAGCCCTTTTCTGTATTTCTCTCGACTCTTGAATCTAGAGCTGTAACAAGTGACCTATCCATTTATTCCATTATGATAACAATGGAGAATTTCAATCTGAGAAGCAAGCCCGTTTCATCTATTGAATTCTTTAAAGTAGAGTTTGGGTTTTGAGTGATGATTGTGTCAAAGATATATTTAGGATTAAGTGTGTACTTGGTAAAAGTGACAATGATAAGAGTTCAAAATGAGGAATGAAAATTGTTGATGTGTTAAACCATGTTTCAAGTCGAGATATATTGCTAATTTCCTCTCCACCCTCTCAACTCCTACCATTAACCCTTCTACTAAGAACACCTTAAAGTTCTAAATTCTAATAGACGTGTGAAAAGAATGAGTCAGCTAATGAATCTTATTAAAAAAATATAAAATTCGATAAGGACTTCAACATTTCGGTTTTCGTAGTTGTTACAGTTTTATAATCTTTGAGGACCTCTTTGGGAAATTTGAGGATCTAGAATTTGGAGAGGAGGATGATATGAATACGACTTGGCTGGCCTGTCATTTGTAGCATATCAATTAATTATCTTTACATGATCTCAAAGTACAAATATTTGAGATTAAGGGTTTCAAAAGTGTTATAGATTGAAGTTGAACAAACGATTCAAACAACTCCTGTTGAGGACATGGACAACTAACAAGCTGAATTCTCCTATCCATGACAAATATTCATTTGACATCCAATTCCAGTAAGGTGATGTCAGGCTTTTGAAAGTGGAATATCTTTATCTTTCTGGCTTTTGCTATTTTTCAAATAAGTAAATAGTAATTAGTTGATTGGGGTTTTTTGTGAGTTTAACTAGATGTGAGAACACAAATAAGTGGGTGCTTTGAAGAGGTGGAGAGAGAATAGGAAAAGATAAAACAAATTGATGAAAAAAATGGGTAAAGAAAAATGAAGAAAGTGCTGAGAGAAATTTGGAAACAGCTAAATGTTTATTGTATTTATATTTACATTTATAAGGTATAACCGTAAATATTGTATTGATTTATGTGGGAAAGCATGTGAAGAAAGTCTCTTTTTTTTAAAAAAAAAACTTTATGAACAAAAAGCCAAGATGGAAAGCTGCCTCCTTGTTCTCTATTAATTCTTTTTTTATCTAGCTGAGCTGATTTGAGCGAAGGTGGGAATTTTTCTAATTTAAGGAGATGAAACATAAAGGTCTGCCTTGAAGGGAAGAAATAAATTCGCAGTCTACTGAAAAAGAGTAAAGCTGCTGAAATTTCTCCAAATGATTTTTTTCCAACTATTTTTCAATGGCTATGGACCAGTGATAAGGTTACTTCTTGTGATCGGAAGGTCACCGCTCGAATATGGGAAATAGCTTTTTTGCAAAAATACAACGGTAAGATTGCATACAATTGACCCTCGTTCCTATTTTTTCAAGTCGGTGATCCTTGTACACTCGGAATTTGCCCTTTGGTCTGCTTGTTTAGAAGGAACAATGCTACAGAGCATGAAAAGAGCAAAGGATTTCTATAGGAAGATGTTTGAGCTAGCTGAACAAGGAAATATGAAGAAATAGGTCTGAATATTCACTAAAGTGAATTATCACATGTAAAATAAACTCTTATCTTTTGAAGTTATAATTTATTTTTTTATTTTTTTTATAGTTATAGCCATCTAGAATTAAGGTGACTTATGCAAATTGCTGATACTAGGTTGAATGGTAGAAACAGTAACATTACAAATCCAACACTGCTGGAAAATACCAGATATGACCTTTGTACAAATAATCAGATTGTGTTTTTCATTATGCATTAGAGCTTTTCATCTATTTTCAACAAGCTAACTGCTGTGATCTATATACGAAGCTTTATCATTCTTTTCAATCAGAATCAACTTGGAAAACTTTGATCAAGTACCGAAAATTGAGAGGCACATTTTGCTCAAAATCATCTTTCTCTTCATGCTTAATTATGTTAAAACATCAACTCTCTTAAAATAAGTTAAATATGCAACTTTGTTCAGACTAATCGTGGGATACTAACAATTATGCCTCCAACTACAATGAACAATATGTATATCATAACTATTGGTATATTGGATTTAATGTGATTCATATAACATTGTGCAGAACTGTGATATCAACTTTGATGGGGAAATTGATCGTGAAGAATTCTATGGTTTCATCCAACAAATGACAGCTGATACATTCACTGTTGTTAGTCAAAAACTTATTGTCACTTTGGTTGTTGCACCAACAGTTGCAGTGGCAACAAAGAGAGCCACTGAAGGTGTTCCAGGTGTTGGAAAGGTGGTGCAAAGGTTACCTAATTCAGTTTATGCTTCCCTTGTCACACTTGCAGCTGTGTGGTTCCAAAATATGGGACAGGATTCTCAGTTTTAGTTATCTGCTCATCATGTCTTATAAGCAGAATGATAGAAATTCTCTTGATTGTAAACATAGGATTGCCACTGTGTGCATGTTAGTTATAAAATTGTAGTTGATAAAAACAATGGTTGTGGTTTGCATTTTGGGCAAAAGATCAATTCTGGATTTTTCTGTCAGGTTATGCATGTAAAAAATTGTCTTCAATAAAATTATATACAATTATTATCTAAAATTGTTTAAGGGCGAGCTTTGAAGCAACACTAAGGTTGTTTCTCGTGACTAGTAAAGATTAAACATGCAAGAGTAAAGTTGTGTTCAATTGACCTTCATCTCCACCATCCTGAGTGAGAGAGTCTTATGTATTGAAATTTTCCCTTTATTATCTAAAGTTATTTCTTTTCCTTTTGAGTTACTCATGTCTTCCTGATTTCTATCATGAGCTTGATCTAATTGATAGATATGTAAGAAATGAATCCTCACAGAAAACCTCGTTTGGGTGAAGACTACCTTCTAAAGATTTGAATGTCATGTTGCATGATATTTCTTGTATCATGTCACTCTTACAAAAAAGAATGGTTCCATCTTGACTTTTTCTAATGGAAAAGTGTTTGTCCTTTTAAATGACACAATTTATATCTTTTCACTCTCACAAAGAGGTGAGATCCACACTTTTATATTTTTTTATCCACTCTCTCTTCTCCTTTATCTATCTTTTTCTCTCACTTAAAATGACACAACTTTACATCTTTTAAAATGATACACACTTGTTATAAAAAATAAAATAAAAATGATACACACTTTTTTCCTTTTTTAATTTATGGATATGATTATTGTCCATATGTATAAATTAGATTCTTAATCTTGGCTGTGAATATCATTTATAGTGAATGGTTCTAATTTATTAAATACAAGAGCAACTGAATATAATTAGATCAACAACTAAAAATAAATATAAGACTCTATCTGAAAAAGCCTAAATTGAATCGCCAATCTCAACCTGTCAGGGGGTGTTTGGTTTAGGGATTTTGATGAGTTTAGTAGGGAAATGATATGTGGATTTCTAAGATCACCATGTTTGGGAGGCAGGGGTTTCTGAATTTGGCTACATAAATGTGATTGCGGAAGTTGTGTTTCGACATCTATTTCATACAATAACTAGCTATATGGTTCTCACTTGATATATGGTATTATCCATTAGCTACCCAAATTATTTTATCCTGTAATCAGCATTGACAAATGTGTTTACGAAGGGTCCCATGCGTGATTCACATTTTTGCAGGAAATAGGGTTATTTACGTAATTGTGACTTTTTTTCTTATCTATATTTTATCTACATCCAAACATAGATTTTCTAAAAGTTATCAAATTTTCCCGTCTAAATTATTTTCAACTAAACAACTTTTTTTATATTTTCCTACCTAACATAATCCTCCAACCATTTCCCTATTCATAACATTCCTCTATTATTCATAAAATTTCTCCTCAACCAAACGTCTCCTTAGACTATTAATATATAGATTTTTAGTTCACTTAAATTATAACAATGACTTAACTCTTGAAATAACACATGGATTGATTTTAACTGTTGCAAAGAAGATAAAATGTACAAATGAAGTGTTGTAATTCAAATGAATATCGAGGAGTCCAAAATATTTATAGGATTTTAATTTTCTCACATAGTAGGAATTTTTTTTCCATGTTATAGACATATTTCGTATAGGACCCATATTTATTATATAAAAAAATAAAAAAAATACTGCACTAAAATATTTTCCCATATCTATATCCCTAAACTACAGAGAGCTTAAACACTTGCTATCAGTGCGTGATTCTCTTCCGTGGTTTCCACCGTTGAAATTCTTCGATTGTTCATTCATTTTGATGTAATCAAAATGGTGATTATTACAACACTTTTCCCTCGAAATTCCTTGGTATTTCTTCTCATAATATCATCCCTCTTGTTCTCTTCCTCACCACTCCTTGCTAAGTCTCCTTACCCAATCTCTGTACGCATCTCCAAATCTCAATCTTTGGTTTGAATTTCTGATACCCTTTTCGTGTTTCTACTTGATTTTCGTTTATGGGTGTGTGATGATGCAGGATGCTGAAGTCAGGCAGAAGAAGCTTCAGTGTTATGCTGATATTGATAGGTTTATGCTTCCTTTATTGGTTTAATTTTTTTTTTTTTTTAAATGTTTGCCCTTTGCAGTTAATTGGGTTATAGAATATATGTTGTATTTGTTAACTGTGGTTGATGCATATTTTGTTATTATAACCCATTTACCATTATAATTGAAAAACATTTGCTTCCACTTCCAAAGCTATGCTGATATAGACAGTTGCACTTGGTTTTACTATTTCTGAGTGTGGGTTCTAATATCTAATTGGTTCTTTAAATGGTATCAAATTCTTAGTGTCCAAGTAGTCACAAGTTTAATCTCACCGTCCCATTTTATTAATAAATAGTTAAATATTATGGAGTTTGTTAGCTTAGGTAGACGGAGCCCGTGTATTTTCCATTCTTCAAATATAATGGGCCTCTTGTGTGACTGAGTGGTCATGTTAGACAAATATAATATAAAATAATTGTTTGACCTTCATCTACCTACTAAAGCTTTTGGGTTGAACTGGTTCTTTACAATTTTCTTGAAAATTTAATTAGGTTGTAGAATATATGTGATATTTGGCAACTGATGTTGATACAGATTTGATATTTACCCATTATTTACCATTATGTTTGAAACTTATTGCTTCCAGTTCAGTGCTATGTTGATATTGGCAGATGCACTTGGTTTTACTATTTCTGGGTCTTTTTCTTTTTGTTTCCTTTTTCTTTTTGCCCTTCTTGAAAATTCAATTGGGTTGATGAATATGTTTGATATTTGTCGACTGTTGATGCACATTTCCATTTCTTTACTTATTATTTATTTTGTGTGTGTGGATAGTGGGATGTGGGGTTGGCAATGCAAATCATCAATGATAGCAAGGGAGAATTGTGCTCTGCGATGCCTTTCGCCGGCTTGTTATGAGCTCATCTACGAAAGTGACCCGGTGAGGCAAAATTTGGGTGTGAAACCCTTTTTAATAGATTAGATTAATAGTGTATTCTTGTTCTTACGTTTTGGAGATGCTCAACTGGGTTGCATTCGTTTTTTCTTGTAGCTTGAAGAGGGAGAGAAAGATCTTATTCGGAGCCAAGAGTTTAAATACTGTATGCATAAGTATGTATAGTTTCTGCAACTTGATGCTCAGAATTTTTGTATGAATTTATAAAAGAGTTAAGTTATACAATGTGTGGGCTTTAACTTTAGATTTAGTTATTATTCTCTTACCATCATTGTAACCAGTCATCAAATACCCAATGCCATGAACAGGAATTGCATGATCTGCTTTCATGTTGGAAATTCATATAATGAAGGAACAAAAAATAAATCCACAAAATAGTAGTTTTGTATAACCAATTTGTAGTTATTTTTTAGTTAATATTTTGAACTCTGGAGTCAGAGATTATCCAAGATCAGAATCATTTGATGTGGCTGGCCTAGGGATGTAAATAGGTTGTCAATGAGAACTGACATGTTTTGTTCAGAGTAGCAACACATGGATTTCAATTGAGTAAATATTATTCCATTCAGCCCCTAGGTTTTAGGCTAGAAAATTTATGAGTTTCTGCAGAGCTGTTCTGTGTACAATGGATATGGGATAGAAATCTGAAATTGATATTCATTGTAGTAGTGTTGTTGGTATTGGTTGTTGGATGACAAACAAGAAGAGTCATTCTTGCAGCCCGGATCAACGGAAAATAATATATTGTGTGGATTGGAAGATAATGATCTTCAGTACTGGTTGAGTAACTCCATTTTGTGTAGCTAGAAAGCTTCTTCTAGCCTTTTGAAGAGTTGAAAATTTAGAAGACTTTGTTGCATTTTGGAATGCAACTGAATCGGGAATTTTATATGTGAAACAACAATTTTTAGTCACATTTTATTCTTAAATGAGGTCAAAAGAATACAAGGTTTTAATAGTCCACTTTGAAGCTGGTGGACTATCGTGGACTATCTCGTATTTATCATTATGTACCTGTGAATCTGTGATGCCATGGAACTTCTAGGGAAATACTAACATATGAAAACTTTGTAGTAAGATGTTAAAATGGATTGATATTTATGCCTATTGTTGATTTATGAGAACTATGTTGTGATGATATTGTTGCATTTGTTAAACCAAACTCGAATATGATTCATTGTGTGGTTTTGGATTATTTTAATGAATAATGAATAATTAAATATTTCATTACCCTTTTTAAATCTTATTTCGTATAATGTGAAATTTGTTTGTCTTCTTTTGACATAAGATGTTCTTGTTATAGCTAAATGTCTAGTTTTGAAGCATGATGTCCCATATGACTTTTTAGTCAAATATGGAATCTCTAAATGTTAATTTTGTTCATGTCCATTGGGTTCTATATTTTATCCCTAATATTGCTTCTGCTTGAAAGGATTGTCTATGTTTGTAGGTAGTGGATATTTGGAGGTATTATTTTGTATTTTGAATGCATTGAGTTGGAAAGAAAAACGAAGTTCTTGCTAATGTTTTAACACATTCAATTTGGTTTAGACAAATGTTAGTTTGTTATTCAAGCTCTCAATTGTAACATAATTTATTTTGCACACTGTTCTTTGTCTCACATTATAACATATGTTGTAACTTTCATGTGAGTTTCTTTGGAGTTTTGGTGCATTTGATCTACATCACTTAGCTATAAGACCAAAGCAATTACCATTTGGAGTTCAATTCTCTGATAGTCTACTCAATAGTATACTTGAGACCTGCCTCGTGATTAAGTTGTCATAAAATGCATTGACGCACCTAAATGACTGTAGATTTTTAATTCCTTTCTTGTGTTAGAAGTTAAAATAGAGTAACTTTGCATGAGGTTTGCACGGGGTTATAGATTCAAACTTCAGTGCCACCATTTATATCCAAAAAAATTAGAGTAACTTTATAGTCCTCAACTCTTCGCACTAAGTACAGGCTACAGCAAAATCTTTTAGGTTTTCTTTCTTCAGAACATTAGTATTTTTTATTTTTTTTCCTATTTGCAAGCATAAATATTGCAGTGAGTCGGATCAACATGATTGTGTTGTATCATTTATTCTTTTCAAGCCGGCGATTATTTTTATAATTGCTACTAGAATTAATATATTGAGAGAGCAACATGGCATGTGTAAAAGAAGCTTTTATCCTAAACTTAATTTTTTGTTTACCTTGCAGGTTGTCCTTGGGAGAGAGCCTTGAGGGTGTTAAGGGTGCCTTTGCTCACTAATCAATGCAAAAATTCTGAATTGAAGACAAGAGCTAGGGCGAATTTATATATGAAAATGACTTCATATCATGTTCGTTCCCAAGCCCTTTCCATATGCCCTGATAAATTTAGATAAAAAACTAAACGAATTAACTAGCATCTAACATATTTTTTCTTTTGAGTAATTAATTATAGTAAACTAAACTCAAATATATGTTCTTAGAAATCCAGTATAAACTAGCACCAAACAATTAGTGGTGTAGTCAAGGAAGCACAGTCACTTATAAAAACAGGGAGAGTCGTGTCTGACACGTTCCGATACAGCGACATGCTCCGACACACGGTCAACTTTTTCCGACACGTTGACCATTCTGACACGCGAATTTGACCGTGTCCGATACGGTCAAATGGCATTTTCGTAATTTTTTTTTAAATTTTTTTTAAATTTTTAAAAAAAAAAAAAAATTAAAATATATTAATTAAGCTTCCACCTGATCATATCAATTTTATTTTTTTGTCTTTTTTCCCCTTAAGTAGATAAGAGATCATCTCAGCATCATTGTTGTTAATTCCTATCACGCTCTTGTTGTATCTCTTTCTCTAATATGATTTGATCTCTCTATCTGATATTATATCTCTTTCTCATCCCAGTTCTTATTTTTTTTATTAAAGCTTCCATCTTTATAACGTGTTGATGGGTATTATTAATTTAGTTTCATTTTTTTGTTAAATTATTTAATATTAATTGAAATATACACTATATGAATTAAAAATATTATTTAATATTAAAACGTGTCCCAACGTGTCGAAATTCATAATTTTTTAGGATTGACGTGTCGTCGTGTCGTGTCGCGTGTCGTATCGGTGCTACATAGGGTGTAGCCACGTTATACTTAGGTAGGGCTTGGGCCCCAGTTACATTTCAACAAATTTTATTTATTATATATAATTATATAAGTAATTATAATTGGACCCTAGCGAAAATTGTAAGTTGGTCATAGCTAAAATTGTAACAATGATAACAAACGAAGATTTGGAGCTGCTTTGCGTGTATGACCATATAACAGATTGTTTTCCTTTTAATTTCTTCTTCTTCTTCTTTCATCTTTTTCTAATTAGGGTTTTTTTTTTCTTATTCGCACTCACCACCGACAAGGTACGATGTTTTGTTCCTTTCTCAAGATTTTACGGATACATGTTTTAGGAATATGCATTGGTAATTATATTGTCTGCTGGAGGAAAAAATTGATTTACAATTTTGAACCTTGTAAAAGAGAAATTCTTTGTCTTTGCTGACCATAATTGTTTATTGGGTGTTTTTTACATAAGTGAAATTCATGCCCTTTTTTTTATTTACAACCTTTTTTATGTGGTTGTATTTATTGATTTTATTTCTTTTGAAAAAATGGAGTGTTGCTTTACGTTTAGTTTTTTTTTTAATTATTTTAATGTACAGCTACAATTGCTACTTGTAATGGAATTGAATTATTTCTTGGTGTTATTTGTATTTGATTTCACAACAGAAATGAAAATTTTGGTGATTAAATAGTGGAAACTGTTGAAGAGAAAAATCAATGAAGATATATGTAACATGGAGTGTGAAAATTTCTTGTACAAATTCTTTAACAACTTCTTCTTTTTTTGTATTTTTAAAATTTTTATAATATCTAAACACTGATAAATGATTTATGTGGTCCCAATGTCATCTAAATGATTTTAGACATTTGTGTTAACTGTTCTATGTTTATTTTTAATTGTGAAGTTTGTTGTTTCTTTACGTTGATGTTCTTCATAAGTCACAACTAGAGGTATAAATAGGCTAAGTTAGGTCAGGCTTTGACTTTGATAGCCTAAGCCTATGTAAAATATTTAGAACTCATATTAACCTATTAGCCTATTAAAGACTTAATTTATAGGTTTGGCCTGACCTATTATAAAAAACTAAAAAACCTAATATGACGTGTAAGGCTTACCAAGTTGCAAACTAAAGTTTATAGGTCCAAAGCAAATTAAAATATAAAAGATCAAAAAAATTTATCACAAAGATCACATGAAATAAATTTTCATTAACATCACATGAAATAAATTTTCAATAACATCACATGAAATAATGTTCATAAAGGTCATACGAAAATGTTCATAAAAATGACATGAAAATTTCATAAATAAAGCAGACCTAAGCTTTTAAAATAATCTATTTAAAATGTAGGTCGTAGGCTTTTTTTTTACATGTCGGGCTAAGCCTACAGGCTGACCAATATTATATTATTTATTTTAAATGAAACAAATAAAATTTTATTTTAATAATTTTTAATAATAAAGTAATATTATTTTAATTAATAAATATTTAATAGGCTTTAACAGGCTAAAAGACATAAGCCAAAGCTTTTATTTTTAAATATAGGTCAGATCATATTTATAATTTAGGCCTACACAAAACTAACAGATTAGGTCAAGCCTAAAGTATTTTACACAAGTCTAAACTATTCAAGCTAAAGCCTATCCTACTCTAATTTATTACACCCCTCCTTACGGTAACAACTAATTAAGAGAAACTAGTTATCTAGTTAATTATTAAAAGTTAACTCATTATTTCTTTTAAAAAAAAAAAGTTAACTCTTTACTAACTTATGAATTGACTCGACTTATTTGCCATCTTAATTGTTTCTAAATTACTAATTAAAATATAAATTAAGTATATAATTTCCTCACCTATGGTGTCTTTCTATCCTAGTATGTTCCAAAACAAGCACATTTTGTCATTGTGATACATACAAAAAAAACTAACTGTTTACAAAAAAAAAACTAACTAACTAACAAGAATTTTTTTCCCACTAGAATGAGTTGACATGGTTATTGATTCAGAAATGGGTGAGTGGTTTAAAGCCTTAATCCTAGACCCTCCCCGAGGCGAATTAGTTGCGAAGCAATGAACTGATTGAAATATTTCTAAAAAAAAAAAGAGAGAAATGGGCGAATGGTTCTATCACTGCTAACAATTACTTCTCATTATTGGCAAATTCTCCAACAACTTTTTTTTGACTAAGTAGTATTATGAAAAAAAAAGTAGAATAAATTACAAAATAAAATAAAATAAAAAACTATCCGCATTCGAAAGAAGAAAAAAAGTAACTAAACATCAATACAAATATAATATTGAAAAACTATTCCTTCTTTAGTTCCTTGTAAAATAAAAAAATTTCAAAGAAAAAATGAATGCGTTTGAACCAACTTTTAAAAATTATTTTAATGATTTTTTATTTTTATTTTTTATGAATTATTGGTTTATGTAAAAATTTAATAAATTATTCTTTTTGGACATTTCTTTACCGGATTATCAATTATTCGAGTAATTCTGTGTTTAGAACTTAAATTTGAGACAACTATTTACCAAAAAAAAAAAAAAGATTTGAGACAACTGATTAAGGTAGAATAATCTTTTTTGGAATTACGCAACCCTAATTATCTCTTTGAGACGAGTTGGCTCCCTCCGGTATCCCCACGAGCTTCGACTCTTTGAGCCGGCTATAGGACTAATTCGGAGTGCGGGAGAACAGTGATGGCTTCGACTCTTTGAGCCGGCTTGGTAGTATTTAATAATTTATTTATAAGAAAAATATTTGTTCTTTTAAAAATCATGTAATTGTATCATTTAAGAGAGAGAAAGATACAATTTCGTATTATTTATTTAAATTTTAAATTAAAAAATCAGCCACTTTCTCTGTCATAATTTTTATTGCTTATATCTTTTTCTCATTTAAAATGATATAATTTCATGTATTTTAAAAATACAAACACTAAGCTCTTTATTTATTTATTATATTTAGGAAAAAATATTTTTGCAGTTACTGCAGACTATGTAGCACCAATACCGACATGAGACACGATACGACACGACACTCCGACACGTTAATGCTAAAAAATGTTAGATTGCGACACGTTAGGACACATTTTGATATTAAATAATATTTTTAATATTTCTAGTGTTTATTATATTTAATATTCAATAATTTATCAAAAAATAAATCTAAACTTATAATATTCATAAATTTTGCATAGAAACATAAGATATCCCAAATATTTATATTAAATTTAATAAAATAGTAATCGTAATCCAATGAATCTAATAGTTGGAACTAAAAACTCAACATAACTCAATCTTTAAACTTCTTTTTGAATTTCTATAACGTGTGTTGGAGTGTCGGGAAGTGTCGGAGTATCGGAGAGTGTCGGACACGACACGTCAGAATTGTCGAAGTGTGGGTGCTTCATAGAGTGCAGATATGTTATCTGCATTTTTCCCAAAACGATGTCGTTTTTATATTGAAATCTTAAAAAATTATAAATATAAAGACTATTATAACCCTGAAATAAATTAAAATTATAAAAACTCTATGATTTCTACCCAAAACGACATCGTATTGGGTTTACTAACGGTTATAATTTATTGGAAATTAATAATTAATTAATAAACATGATCCAATAAATTATAACCGTTAGATTAACGAAAATCATCGATTAAAATTTATTAAAAAAAAAAAAAAAAAAAATAGTAACTATAATTTTTTTTTTTGCAATTTATCCCCGTTATCTAGTGAATTGTGCAAAGAACCCAAGCGAGAGTGGAAGAGTAAGAGAGAGAGAGAGCATGGCGGTGTTGGGTGGTGCGACGCCATGGGTGAAGGCTGTTGCTCCTCCCATTCTTCTGCAACAAACTTACACTACCCGAACCCGAACCTTCTTCCGAAGAACCTTTTCAGTCACTGCTCTTTCAGAAGCACAACAAGTTCCCGTTCGCGTTCGTTTCGCTCCTTCTCCTACCGGTAACCTTCACGTTGGTGGTGCCAGAACCGCCTTGTTCAATTACTTGTTCGCTAGGTTCGTACGTCTATGCTTCTTTTCCTTAATTCTTCATAATTCTTAATTTTTAATATATTTTTTTTTAATTTTAATTGATATCTTGGGAGAATGCGCGAAAAAATGAGAGAAAGTATAGGAAAATGAAAGAGAGAATAGGAATGAAGTTTCTGTGTTATCGGATTATTGTTTCTGAATACAGAGTACAGTTATATATAGATACATGTAGTTAACCAACATGTAACAGATAACAGATCTGGTAACAGACTCTTAACTGACTTTCTAACTGAATAACAACCTATCTATCTAATTAACAATGATAGATAGTGTCACTGACTGTGACTCACAGTCACAGAGACACAATATACAATAATACTCTGTTATATTTATCATTCAATTTTCAGATCCAAAGGTGGGAAATTTGTTCTGAGAATTGAGGACACTGATTTGGAGAGGTCTACAAGGGAATCTGAGGAGGCCGTGCTTCGAGATCTTTCATGGCTTGGTCTTAATTATGATGAAGGTAAGTGTTTCATGATTCATGATTTGAGTGCACTGTGAATTTTTCATTTTATTTTTATTATTTTTTATTTGGTAAAATTTGTTAGTGATTATTTGAGTGTGGTGAACTTGTTAGGCCCTGGTGTTGGTGGGGAATATGGTCCATATAGGCAGTCTGAGAGGAACTCTATGTACAAACAGTATGCCATGAAACTTCATGAATCCGGCCACGTTTATCGCTGCTTCTGTTCTAATGAGGTAATTTTGTTTGTCCGCAAGCTTTGGAACTTGTAGTGTAACCTTTATTGTTGTTAGAGGTATAATATAAAACCATTCATGTGCCTTTACCTGAAAGCTTAAGCTGTTGGAATAGTGGGTTCATGACTATTGTCTTGGGGAATGAATCTTTTCATGTTAAAATTTCATGACCTAGTCACGTGAAATTTGTGTGTCTGTCTTTTTCTTCATTAATGATAATTGGACCCCATTTATTTAATGCACGAGAAGAGAGAGATAGACACAAAAAATTTAACATGACCAGGTCATGTGAAATTTTAACATGAAAGGATCCGCTCCTATTGTCTTGATATATGAAGTGGGAACTTGCCCATGTGCTTCAACAAGTCTGTTATGTGGCGGTTTTCACTTTGTTGTGCACCGTCTGAACTTTAAAGTTAGTAACAGGACTTCAACATGATTTGTAATGACCAAGTTTGGCTGTATTGAGCTACTGTGTCTTTTTTTGAAATGTTTGTGGTCTGGTGGAAAAGTTTCTTTAGCTTTGGGTTGGTTAGCTGTTTGCTTGTACTCTGTAATTTGTTTTGCATTTGTGACAATGATTTTTGGTTCAGTTTATTAAAAGTTGCTTATCACAATGGTTTCTTATTTTTGAGATTTGTACCACTTGGAAATAAGTACAAGATTACGAGGCTATGCCCTTGGTGTTTGCTCTACTAGTTTTCGAGCAAATATATCTTTGAAGTTTGATCGAAATTGTCTCGAGGTTACTTGTTGATTCTTATTCATCTTAACAGGAACTAGAGAAAATGAAGGAGATTGCTAAACTAAAGCAACTACCTCCAGTATATACTGGTAAATGGGCCAGTGCAACAAATGAGGAAGTAGAAGAAGAGCTGGCAAAAGGAACTCCTTATACATTCCGGTTTCGTGTCCCCGAAGGAAGTTTAAAAATTAATGACTTAATACGAGGCGAAGTGAGTTTTTTCTTCCCTTTTCCACTTTTTCTTTCTTCATTTTTTTGTTTTCCCGGTGTGATTGATGATTTTCTACACCAACTGGTTTGGGATAAAGGCGTTCTTGATGTTGGTATGATTGATGATTTTCTACTTTGTGTGGTACAAATAACATACATCACTTCTTTTAATATATATTACCTTCATATCCAGAGGTAAGTGGATATCTTGTCGGAAATGTTTTATTTCATCTCATAATCTGTTGTCTGTGATCCCTTTAGAAAAAGTATACTAATATAGTGGCATGTGGCAATTTTTTATTTTTTTTTTACACCTTGGAGATGAGCTACTCATTAATAAAATATGGGAAATGTATAAAATTTATTTCAAAACAACATGGACTGGCTATTAACTTTCTTTGGTAGTGTCTTGAAGGTTAGTTGGAACTTGGATACGCTTGGAGATTTTGTGATAATGAGGAGTAATGGTCAGCCTGTTTACAACTTTTGTGTAACGGTGGATGATGCTTCCATGGCTATTTCTCATGTTATCAGGTAGTGATTATAATTTCTTCTTCAATCAATATGTTTCGCCAAGTATTTTTCACTAATTTATTCCAAAAAATATTTGTAATTCAGAGCAGAGGAGCATTTACCAAACACTCTAAGGCAGGCATTAATATATAAGGTAACAGTACAAACCATATAATATATCATCTTTTATTTGCTTTCTAGTTTGTCAGAAACATCAGGATGAGAATGCATGGTATTATCCTGCAAAATCTCGGTTTTATTTTTGAGAAGTGATTCATATACTGTCAATTGTCCAAACCTGTATTCTGTATTCTAATTGATTTTGATTGTATGAGATTGAGCATAGATAAAGTGACTTTGAGCAAGTTGTATTGACTTTGTGATTTTCAATATATTTTGATAGTGTTCTGGCTTGTCAGTTTATAATGGCTAGATTCTTGATTTATTGGTTTCATTTCTTTTCTTTTGTTTCTAAAATTTCTCACATCATTAAAAGGGTTTTTTTCTTTGTGAGAGTTATGAGTTAGGAAATCTTGATTAAGAAATTCCAAGTCTGCCAAAATAACAAATAGTGGTTAAGAGTGCATTTGTTTAATTTTTTTGTTATAATAAATTTTAATATGCATTTTTTCAGTAAAAGCACTTCTGAAACGTTTTAAATCATTTGAATAAGTGTTTTTTTTTTTTTTTTGTAAAATGGAAAAATTCAAAAAAATCCAGATGTATGAGTATTATCAGAAGCAACAATGAGTAGGTTCTCTAAAACAGGGGATTGGTAAGTGAATATGTGGTTAAACCATTGATTACCGCTTTGCTTAAAATTTTCCTCATTCAAAATTTGTGTTTGGATTGCCTAATTGTAATTTTTGTTTTTGTTTTCTTCCTTGGGTTGTGCAATAATCTAGGTAACTGATTATTGCAAATGAATGCGTTTACAGGCACTAGGATTTCCCATGCCTTACTTTGCACATGTTTCCTTGATTTTAGCTCCTGATCGGAGTAAATTATCAAAACGGCATGGGGCAACATCAGTGGGTCAGGTAAGGTTGATTCATCATTTCCATATTTTAAATTTTTGTTATGAGGTTTTACTTGACACTTTTTTCTTTTTAATTTTACTGTATAAGTTCTCAGAAAGCTTCTTCTCTTGTAAGGATAATTAGTTCCAAACTCTAATATCTGCTATCTCACAGTTCCGGGAGATGGGATACCTACCTCAAGCAATGGTGAATTACTTAGCATTATTAGGTTGGGGTGATGGGACTGAAAATGAATTCTTCACCCTTGATCAACTTGGTTAGTGATTTATGTTTCATCACTTTATTGGTATGCTATTCAGATGGTGTGTTTTCTAAACAGGAAATTTGTTTGACAATTTTCTTACTTTAGAATATTTTTTCTTGTGTTCAACAGTTGAAAAATTCACTATTGAACGTGTTAACAAAAGTGGTGCTATTTTTGATTCCACGAAGTTAAGGTAATTGTTGCTTTTTGCCTATCTAATATGGATAAATCCTGTGTGTTGTTTCCCATGGTAATCCTATGCCTTGCATTTTGAGATGCAATGGGTCAAATTTCTTACAATTGCTAATTACAGACTATTTTTTGTTCTGAATGTGAAAATGCTGTTTCTGCTTCTTCAATTATAGGATATACGTTTCACTTTATTTGCATATGATTGTTGTATGTATTATTAGTTAATTTATTCATATTGGAAAATTGGAGTTCTACCACTTACAAAGCTTTGTCGCTAAAATTAAACAATGAAATTGTAATTAATGGCCTTGTAATTTTGTCTTTTAATTAGGTGGATGAATGGTCAGCATTTAAGAGCACTTCCATCAGGGGAGTTGACCAATCTAATTGGAGAGCAATGGAAGACATCTGGCTTACTCACAGTATCAGCAGGGCCCTTTATTGATGTGAGATCCAATTGCATGCATTTTTGATTCGGTCTCTTCTTATAAATAGAATCGGTTTAGTTTCATTTCTTGAGGCATAATGATTTATTTAGTATGGTGATGTCACATCTTGTAATGGTGGATTGAGAAGCAAATGATAATATATGGTTAACTAACAGGAATCAGTTCAACTACTTAAGGATGGGATTGACTTGATACCTGATGCAGACAAGGCACTTGCTAACTTGCTTTCTTATCCTTTACATTCTACTTTACAAAGGTGATGCTCATATTCTTCTAAGAGGAGGTCCTTAATTGTGTCATACTGTCATTGGCCTCATAAAATTATCTGGATTGTGATATACTTAGTTTTGTGAATTTATCTTTGCCAATCATGAAGATGACAACTCAACAGCTCATTCTTGTTGGCTATAAATTGTATATTATGTATATAGAATACGATGAATTGCTTCCTGATTGCATATGCATTATTCATAGTAGTTAATTGCACCGCAATAGCGCCGCGAGCTGCGCTGTATGGGTGTAGCGGTGCCTTGCCGCATGAAATCGCGCTGTGCCGCACCGGAACGCAATAGCGGCCATTGCTATCGCATTTGCAGCCAAATGGAAGCTATATTGCTGCCATAAGGCAAAATGTCAATTTTGTCCTAAATTTAAATGTGTAACAGAAAAATTTAATGGTTTTTTAGTCTATATGTGTCTTTCTCTATCACTTTTGCTATCTCTGCCTTTAAAAAATGTTTCTTTTTGTCATTAATTCTATCATATATCTATTTCGCTATTTCCGCAACTGGAACCCGCTATAGCATTTCTCGGGGTTGGGCGCAACATGCCGCAATCCGCATTTGATAACTTTGGCATTATTAGAAATTACAACTTTCCACTTGTTGCTGGCAGCCAAGAAGCAGAATCTGTCATACAAGATAATCTTTCAGAGTTTTCTGTCAGCCTCTTGGCTGCCTATGATAGTGGTGATCTGGTAGCTGCACTTGAAGATGGCCAAGCTGGTTGGCAAAAATGGGTGAAAGGCTTCGGTAAATCACTTAAGCGCAAGGTGAGTTGAATTGGATAATTTCAATTATATTTTCAATCATCACATATATTTCAATATATTGGTGTACGGTTTGTTTTAGGGTAGAATAGAGGAATGCTATTTAACATTATGGATGGGTGGATCTGTTATTTTCTATATTCCAAACTGCTCTTTTTAGTACTTTTTCCCCATATTTATTTTTTCTATATTTATTTATGTATTTATTTATTTTTTCTCTCCCTCTGTTCTTTCTTTTTATTTGAATTCAACGACTGCTGATTTCAATTAGTTTGAGATAAATGTGAATTATCACATGTTTAAAAAATGTGTTCCTGTTCATGTTCTAGGGAAAATCACTTTTCATGCCCCTCCGACTTCTGCTGACTGGGAAACTCCATGGACCTGATATGGGGGCTAGTATTGTATTGCTGTATAAAGCTGGGACTACTGGTATTGTTGCACCTGAAGCTGCATTCATGACACTGGATGAAAGATTTAAAATGCTTAGGCAAATTAACTGGGAAACATTGTCCGAGGATCATCCTGTCAAAGAAACGGCTACTACGGTCTGAGAAGTCACTTTCATGGTCTATCAAATAACACTGGTTTTACACTTCTATTTGGAGTCTTCCCTCATTCATTTTTGTTTTTGACAAGAGAATTCGAATTTGTAATTTTTACCGAGGAATCATCTTCAGTCATAATGAGTTTCGTTTTCTTTTGTTTTTTTTAGTTAAGTTCAGGTTTTTGTTTTGATGTGATTAGATGTATTTCCTCTTATTTTGATTTGGAAACATGAATATTCGTGAGTGAGGTACCTTCCAAGTTTATTTGTATGCTGTAAAATATGTTGTGGCAACTTAACTGTTGCGATTGACTAGTTTTTTTTTTGGTCAGATTTACTAGTTTTTTTAATTATATAAATATAACGTGCAACGGAGAAACATTTCTGTAGTGGAGTTTTATTTTGAATTTTCAAATTGATCTTAGACTAAGTAAGTTGAGTGTTTTATTACTAATTCTACTTCAACATGGTCAAGTGGTTATCCTGCTAAATTTATGAATAACTGTTCAAACTTATAATTATATGTAGGGTTTAGTGAGTGTACAGTGACTGGATGTAAAATTTGGTCTAGTGCACTAAGTTCTCCCGCGAGAACACAGTTATAGTAAATATTATAATTATGTTCTCTCAGGAAAACACTATTATAATATTTTGTCCACTATGTTCTCGCGAGAGAACTTAGTGCACTGGACCGTCCAGTCACTTTATTTTCATTTTTTCTTTATATATATATATATAAAGATATTTGTTTGGAACACCTTAGAAATGAAATTTTTATTTTAATAATTTTATTTGCTTATCCTAAATTAGGACCATATGGTGGGCAACTGCAGATAAAATTGTCCTGTAAACTTTCAAAATTTGAATCAAACTATTCAAAACCGACCAAATTTGAGTGGATTTCTAAATACGCAACCAAATTTAAAAAGAATTAAAATCAAATTGATTCATAGAATTAATAATACCAAACATACTTTAAGAAATTCATTTGAATGGGATTTACATGAAATTCATTTGAATTGGATTTACACAATGAGTTTTGCTAATTATGTGGTCCTACCCAACTTGAACCAGATCAGGTGTATAAACAACGAACCAACACATAATATCCAAAAAAATAAATTTAATTCAAAATATTCTAGAAAATTGTGACAATGTAGCTAACATTTTGATGCAAGAAAAGAGATAAATCTTGGTGGATAAACATAATACAATATGATGCAGGAAATTCAGCAACAAGATCCCAAATCGAGACATGAATATATATTTAAAATGTAACTGCGATGTTGATTATCAAAACAATACTATATGAACATGCACAAAACCCTGTTAATGATGCACATAAAATGCCGCCATTTTAACGCAAGAAAGAGTTCCATTCATTGCAAAACTTTAACGAGGAAGTGGAGTAACATTGAAGCATAATGACAATGGTTGTAGTGAAAGATTAAAAAAAATGGTTTCTACGCAAAAACACTATATCAAACTTCCTTTGCCTTGTTCCATTCTCGTTGACGAGCATGCAACTTGTCATGCAATGAACATGTTGAATTTCAATCCACATCATAGGTCCTCTTGTCAAAGGCACTAAACCTAAGATCTAGATAAATTACTTTAAAACTCAAAAAAAAAAGGGTCACACCAAAGCTTGTACTTAAAATTCTAGGAAAACCACCAAGACCAAATAGTAGTAATATTGATAGAATTCATTTTGTGATTGCTATACAAACAAGCTGTATACATTATGCTTCTGAAGTGAAGCTTTTGTTTATCTTCATAGTGTTCACAACTGATTCACGTTCATTTGTATATTTTCAGGAAGAACATCCTCTGAGAAGATGAAACACTTAGTTGCACCAAAAATGCTGGCTAGTTGTTGAATTACACTCTGAAATGAGTAACTTGGGGGCAGGACAGGCATTGAAAGAGAAGGGACACATGTTGGAAGGAATTCGGTTTTATTGTAGACTGGTGCATACAAGGTTAACACTGCCTGGCAAAATATGAATCTGCACAAAGTAGAATAGAAAGATAAAAGTCATGATTTGTCACTGGTTGTATTATAGTGAATTTTGGAATGAAGAACCGAGAGACCAATGGCAAATAATAAAGACAACAAGCATAAGTGAAGACAAGTTTTACCTCAAAAGGAGTCTCCTAATGAAGGGATCACCTAAAATCTGTCCCCAAACAGGATCAAGTGTGTCTGATGTTGCCAACGCCAGTCCCCAGTTGTTTAATGATGATGAGAGCAGCATTTCAGCTTTGTTGTATATATCCTGAAATCAAATTTAAGTTGCTGAGAGCATAGAAACTTCCCACTTCCAGAAAATGAAAATATATTTTTTTTAATAAAGAAGAACTTGCAACCATGAAGGAAATAAGGGGAGTTTATTACAGACCAAATCAACATCAGTGTCTGAAAGTCCTAGCAGAAAACAGAAAGCTTGCAGGGGAGCTGTAAGAAACATGGTGAATAGGCTCCCATTTGAATGATATGAGTAATCAGACGCAATAGGAGGTGAACAGCTAGGAGAAAGGAGCATAGCAACTGATTCTCCCTTTTCTGCTTCTGCTATGACCTGCACGTTTTGACTAACTGCTTTTTAAATGTCCAAAAGTGATCTACAAGGTCATAGGATGTGAAGGAGGTAAATATTAGTCATGCATACTTCAAGGCCCACAAACAGTATTTTTCCATTATGCAAAATTTATTCATAAAACTCACTTAAACTTGAAATGACCAATAGTTTCATACCTCTTGCCTCTAACTGATAAAGGTACAGTCACATACATCATTTAGTTTTACTTACACTTGATATTCAAGTAAGAATAGTTGTCGAACCTAGATAGGAGAGCCGAGTAGCCGACCCCAAAAATGCTATAGCAGGATAGCCATAATATTGAAGATTATGGATACCAAAAATTAAAAAAAAATTAAACTACACACATATAAATGCTTAAAAATAAAAAATTACCCAAAATTAAAGACACAATCATAATTAATAATCAAAAATCATAGTCTAGACACATAACAACATCAATCTAAGACATAATTAACGAGTCAATAATAACAGAAGTCAAGGAGCACAAGGGAAAAAAAAATAGTGCACCTTATTACTCAGCATAAAAATGCAAAGCTATGTGAAACAGGAAGAAGCTGGGAATGGCTAAGAGGTGATAGAGAAAAGACCTAAGAATAGAGGCTGGGGCTGCCGGAGAACACTTGGGCTGCTGGGAAGTAGTTGGAAAATGTGTTAGAAGAACACTAAGCACAAACAGAGGGTGGAGCTGATGGGATTTTTGGATGGATGAAGGGATTCTATCCCTAAAATTCCTCTGACACAAAAAAGGGTGTAAAATAGCATAAATCTAATACAACCTTAGGAGAACCTCACCCCAAAAGCTAGCCCATGAGATAGGAGAGCCCAAAGTCCATATATAAACCCCACATCAGAACCTTATGTTCTCGATGTGGGACTCCAAGTCCCATACCTTGGAGTAGGATCGTAACAAAATCTCCCTAAAAAAAAAGTAGGAATAGCAAAAAGGGCAGACAAAATAGGGATTTTGTTCCCCTTCAGATTTATGGCTACGATAGCCATGATTTTGTCGGTGAAAGGCCGCAATCTTTGCCATAATCTGTGATGTGACAGAGAATTTAAAGCGACCAGTTTATTGTTTGTTAGAAATATAATCTAAATTATAAAACCATTCATCTATCTTCACCTACTGGCTTAAGTTTTTGGGTTGAATTGGTTGCATAACATGGTATCAGAACCTCTGTGACCAAATAGACTAGAGTTTGATCCTTGCCGCCTCCATTCTTCTAATAAATATTATACAATTTTTTATCACAGGTAGGTGAGCCTATGCATTTCCATTCTTCAACTGTAATGAGCTCTTGTATGAGGAGACATGTTAGAAATATAATATAAACTATAAAACCATTCATTTGTCTTCATCTAACGGCTTAACCTTTTGAGTTGAATTGGTTGCATGACATTGTTATTAACTACTATACAAGAAAGTATGCTGATTTATGTGTCTAAGCCAAACCCCTCACGGGTATATTTATTCCAGTGAAGGTATTAATTACAGACATAATTACACATCAAAATAAAAAAATAAAATAATAATAACAACAACACAGGACAGACAGGAGTATAAGGAAACAAGATAGAGTGAGGAGCTTAATCACGTAACATGCAATGGGGACTTTTGAAGAATTGAGGCACTTCAAGCAAGCAAGCTGCTGGAATTTAACAGTCCCAGGGAAGTTGCCTCTTGACAATTGGTACAACAGGTTAGGGTTTATCAAAAGGGAAAAAGTCAAAACTCGCTTTAATACCTGATGGAACCCAAAACAGAAACTGAAGGTATTGATAGAAAATACAATTAAACCAGAAAAGAAATTACAAGTAACCCAAAGAACCTCTAAGAACTGACCCAAATTGTCCGATTCCCATAGCTCCCCCTAAGGTCATTAACCCCGACCCTAGAGTTCCCCAAATTCACTTAATTCGTGCATGAAAACCCACACCTCATAGTCCCCCCTATGTAACAGTCTATCCCTAGGCAGTTATGCCTTTCTCTCTCCTCTAACTGATGGGCCTTGATAAACATTTTACAATGGTCCATCAATACTCCCCCTCCAAGATTCACCTTGTCTTCTAGGTAAAGGAAGAGGCCAAGATCAAGTGTGAGATAACTTGCCACCTGGGTCCCATTGCCTAAAACATGTTACTCTATTTTCAAAGGCCTTTCTGCCCAAAAAACAGAGTCCAATTGTATTCTCATTAAAAAGCCTTTCTGCCCACAAAACATATTGTCTCCTCTTTACTTGTTCCACCAATTTTGGCCCATGGAGCTCTTGGATCATTACTATCCTTCAGCCTTCAAAGTTTCATCCTAATGTAGTACTTACTCACTTGATCATATCACCCTGGTCTTCAGCCACCACTCACCACTCCCTAGGTCATTCACCATTATAGATCTTGTCTTACTGAGTTGCACTCCACAACTAGCTGGGTTGTTCAGCCAAGCGTTGAACATGACACAATCACTCATCAGAGAAGGGAGAAGGTAGAAAAAGCAAGGAAATATCAGTGGTTTTAGGAGGGTCAAAAGAAATTAGTTTTTTCGCCTTTTCGGAGCGCACTAACAGAATACCTGAGATAAACGACGTCTACTTCTTATCATGAAGGAGTTAAATCACGAACAGAAAGACTTTCAAAGGAAAGGCATGAAGGCGGGATAAATACATGTACTAATAAAAGTTAAGAGATTGAGGAATTAGGAGGTCAACAAAGTTTGGTTTTTGATACCATGTGAAGAAAGAGATATTTGGACAAGCCAATAAAACTAGTATGCCAATAAAAAAAAATATATATGCATAGTCTGATTCTTCTGCCTAATATTTTTTCTTTTCAGGATAAAAGACAATTTATAAGAGAATGGAGTCAAAAACTCCAACAGCAGAGGATAAGAAATTGGATTGAAGGTGACAAGAGGTCCAGAAAAAAAAAGAAAAAAAAGAAAAGAAAAGAAAAAGAAAAACAGATTAAGAAAGCAAAAGTGGCACTACCAAAGATTTGTCACTGAATATTCTGGTGTTCCTCTGAAACCAATAACACCACATTATTGTAGACATCACACTTGGATAGTAAAATCACACCACCTGGCTGTCAACTTTATAATTTTTTTCTGAATTTATACATGTTATAGCAGCATCCAAGAATTAATTTTTATGCTCAATATTTTCAGTAACAAGTATGATATTGCAGCATCACTGCTCCCCACCTAATTATTGGGTAAAGTTAGCATTTACAAACTACTATAGACACTAGTAATATATTCAATAAATTATTTATTAAAAAAATTCAAGAGTTAAATGAATAAAGTGGTAAGGCTTGCCTTATAAGCTTTGCTGTCGTCATTATCAATGACTAAAAGAAGTGGTCTTCTTGTAAATGGCAGAAAGTCAGATGGATATATGCAGTTTGATCCTGAAAAGGGATTGGGTTAAAGTATTCTGCAATTCCAATAGAACCATGTACAGTATGAGCACTCAATATCTGTCAAAATATCTTATCACATCATTAATTATTCAGAGAATGTTTTAGAGTATCATAGATGATCTCTTATGAGTATTTCTATATTTCATTAATAACAGCCAAAATCCAAGGAAAGGGAAGGCATCAATATTGGCAATTAAAATGCCAGATATAATTCTACTAAAAACCACATATAAAAAATATACATATGTTAACCTAGTTCAATGCAACAATATCCATTTACAGTGGGGAAACAATATATTGGGTAATAAGCACTGTCATTTGCAACATCTAAAGTAACAAGGGCTCCAAACACATTGAAAGAGTTTCAACAAAATCAGAGCAAATAGTTTAGCAGGCAGTACAAGAATATTTCCTCTAACATGTACCTCTATCTCCACGGGGACCAAAGTGTATGCAACCAGATTCATTCTGAGCAGCACCACAAGATCCTGCATTTGATGTAGAAAGTTCACCTTTCCCTAAACAATTAGATTGACACAAGAAGTATGATAACCCTACACATTTACATGCTTACATTCCTAGTTAACAGAGGATATCTAACCTGAAGCTGACAAATATACAAGGAGAATACCATCAGAAGGAAGCTCCTCACAAATTGTGGCAAGAACCTAACCATCAAAAGGAAAGACCAAATTATACTCAAATATACAAGGAATCCAAAAATTAATAATGAAAGAAATAGTCATTTTGATGCTAATTATGACCATCTTTTCCAGTTGCAGAGAAGCAGGAAAGTCCAAAACCATCACGTTTTACACAGAATAAATGGTTTCGCCAAAACCTTTTAACATATCCATCTATCATATGATTTTCTTTTATTTATTTGGTATAAAAATCAATCCCCCTACGATAATTCTGGCTTAAACATAGAAAGATTCTTGAGAAGTCATCATTAAATTGTAGCCGTGAGATGGCTTCATAAATTTCACATGGTTGGGTAGCCCAAATCAAAGACAAAGAGAGTGTACTCGATAATTATTAGGTTATTGGTCCAATAGCTAAGCAGTTTTATTGTGTAATAAGATACTAATATCTAGAGACATTTTTGGACTTTCGGCATTCAGAATTAAGAATCATGGTCCCTAGTTTTGCCTCAAGGTAATTAGCCAGAAACCGGAAGAAAATAGTGATACCGAAAGTTTTAATATTTCTTAAAACTAAGGAAACTTTTAAATGTAAAGATAAAGATAAGTACAGCTATCTCCTAAAAATAAGGAAGGTAAATTCACATCTGATATCTTTACCATAGATAGAGAATAGAGATATCATAGATATGGTCATGTTCTATTCAGTGGAATAAAGATAAAATAGAAATTATCTTTTGGAGAGGTGGCTGAGTGGTTGATAGCTCCGGTCTTGAAAACCGGTATAGTTCAAAACAAAGAACTATCGAGGGTTGGCTGAGTGGACTAAAGCGTCGGATTGCTAGTCCGTTGTACGAATTTTTGTACCGAGGGTTCGAATCCCTCTCTTTCCGTTAGATAAGGATATTTATCTCCCAAAATAAGGAAAGTTTCTAAAAATAAAGATAAGAATAGCTGATTACAAACCAATCAACATTAAACACACCTAAAATAAGGAAACAACTAAAATTAAAAACAGGCCAAATAATCAAAGGAAAGTTTTAGAAATGAAAAATTGGCAACTTTCTTGAAACACGTCCCAAATTTCAACGTGCCAACTTTCTTGAAAATGTGGGCCATGCTTAATGCACCATATTCGATTGAGACTTGATTTCTTGGATTATCACATTGGGTGTTTCCTTGAACTTCTTTGCCCAAGCTCTCATTACTAGAGCAATCGGGAGTTAAACCGGATCCCTTAATGTTGTGCTCTGATTTGCATCACTTGACACCATATTAAAACCCAATACGCTTCAATACTCATAGAAGGGTTGGCAAAAACGAGCCAACCCGTCAGGTTGGCTCGCAACCCGTCATAAATGAGTCGGGTTGGGTTGGCCTAAATGAGCTGCCAACTTGATTCAACCCGACTCGATCCAACTCGGACAAAAACGAGCCAGCTCGCGGGTCAAACAGGTTGGCTCGCGGGTTACCTTTTTTTTTTTTAAATTAAACAAATAAAATATAACAAATTGAGTCACACCTCAGAACCTCACACGCGGACAGATTGCACGACGCACATCACAGAGACACAGACTCACTCACCCCAGCCCTAGGTCCCCCACCCACACCGACGGCGCCGACGCCGACACCATTTCCAAATCTCGCAAACTATCTCAACGATCGAGTCTCTCTATTTTCTTTTAATTGAATTTGTGTTCTCATTATTTTTTTTATTTTCATTCACGAGTTCTCAACGTCACGGTTTCTTATTCTGTTTTCTCTGTAGTTTTTGTAAATCTAAAAGCTAGTTTTTTTTTTTTTGTAAGATTATTGAAATCTAAACAATGGTGTAGTTATAATTTGAAAATCTGTATCATTTATTTGACCAGGTTTTATCATAAAGAAAATACAGCTTGTATGCAAACTTGTGCCCTCTTCGCCTCCATCAGGTATTTGTGCCATTGCTTCTCCTGTCATTGTACTTTCTTTTTTAATTGTTTGTGTTATTTATTTATTTTTTAATTAATTGTTCTCTCTTCCACCAGGCATTCTTCGCTGTAAAAGTGATATAAAGTCTTTTTGTTGAGTATCCTTATCTGTCGATTCTGTCCAGTATAGATAAGGGGGAAATGAAATTGGAAAAATTAAATTTTGATTTTTACTTTAGGAATATTTCGAGCTAATCAACCCGCGAGCCAACCCACTGGCATCATTTCGAGCTAACCCGCGAGCTTTTTTCCGAGCCAACCCGCGAGGCAACCCTAACCCGGCTCGGGTCGAGCTGGGTTGGATTTTCTGGCTCGTTTTTTTTTTCGGGCCAACCCTAACCCAACCCGTTTTTTTCGGGTTGAATGCGGGTTGGGCCGGGTCGAGCCGGGTTGGCCCGTTTTGCCAACCCTAAGTCTCAGTCTTTTTCCATCCCCACACCACCACAAGTTTTAAGACCTTCCTTGTGACAAAAATTAAAGGGAAAATTACAACTTACCACCCTACACTTAGATCTTTTTTCAAAAACCATCATGTATTCTCAAATGAAACAATTAACCTACTTAAGTGTAGGGTGGTAACTTGTAATTTACCCAAATTCAAATGAAAAGAAATAACAAAAAACAGTCGGAGAGTTTGGTCTTGATTATTTTTGGTTTCAAAGAATATCGGCTGGATTTGGAACCCAATTCTTTCTTGCATGATATTATTAGAAGCAAATATGGATTGCATCAGCATGGTCGGGATGTAAAAACAGTAATTAAGGCTACACAAGTCACTACCTTACATGTTAGTGCTGATCAAGTTCTCTTCGTATTTATAGATAAAAATCTAGCATAAATAGCTACAACTTCAAGTCATTGCTCAATTCTTTCAAGACATAAAGAAAGAAAAATATTATTAGTGTATCACAAGACTCTTAGGCTAAAGCCTGGTTCTAAATCACTCTCATCCTGAGGGGATTGCTGTTCAAATTCCATCCTCTTCATAGGAAGTTGATGCAGCATTGCGGTATACTATTGGTCAGAAAAAGTCAGAGAAAAAGAGAGGGCTGACCAGTTAGGATTATTCGATATTGTTAGAACTATAAGGATTCTTATTATATTATGTGTATTATTGAGTTAGGCTTGTACCAGTTATACTACACTTGTAATTGACCTAGATTATTAGTATAATAGGGCTATAAGATCAGTGTTTACATATTGCAATTATTTAGAATCTCATTAATGAAATATTCTCTCCTTTCACTTTTACATTAAATCCCTGAATTTTATCATGAAATCAAAGCCCAATTTGATCCCAGGACCAGTGGGTTATGGGCCCATGGAAAACTATTGAAAGAAAATAAAAAATAACATATATTTTCATACTTACAGCTATAAAATGTGTCAGTGAAGGACGGTATAACACAGCCTTCCGTGGGTTTGCTGGTAAAGTCGGATCAGCAATATCTTGGGAGTAACTGATACAACTAGCCCCAGTTGCCCCATTCTGACTAAGTTTTGAACCACTCGACTGGTAAAATGAGCCACTAGGTTCCCACTCCAGACATTGAAGCATCCTAAAAGTGTCAATAGTGAGCTCTGAAAACTTAACCTGTTCAGGAATGACATTTGAAAACAATAACGAAAGATCATAACATTTTACAGAACATCTACTAGCAGCAAAAAACCCGCCTTATTGATTGTATCATATACAACAAATATTCTTCTTCAATATAAGAATCAAAAAGACCTGGATACCTACCTCATTTTGATGGAAGCTACTTAATACCGCATCTCGTAATTTCAAATTTCGCTTTGTGATAGCAGCAGATACATGTGGTAGAGTATCCGGATGAGGGTCCAAAACCAGACTATACCTCAAGGGCCTGATATTCATAAAAGCAGTGTCAGCTTTTAAAAATCTGACTATTTCCTGAACCACCAGCTTCCATTCTTTAAAGTCGCTTTCCTGTAACCAAATTGTTTGAAGGTCACTTCCAATACATCTGCAAATGTAAATTATCAAAATATATTCGGGACAGAATTATGTTTTCATGGAACACTCCACTTACTCGTCTACTATGATGTAGCTTGGTTATTCTAATCTAAAGATGCAGTACTTTGATATTTATGTGCAGCTCTGGAGTTAGTTTAGATGTTTAGTTACCAACAAATTCATTCATTCATCAAAAGCAAAGAGAGCAGAACAATGTTAGATATAAAAACATCCATATATGCCTACAACTAATATCTTGAACTTTTGTAGACCTTGGCAAGCCTCTTTGACCAAGAGATTAGAAGTTTGATCATAGCTACCCCCATTCTTCTAAATAAAGTTGAATTTCAGCACAAGGTATAATATACCTGTGCAATATCCATGCTTCAAGTCCAAAAGGTTGATGTGGAGGGGCATGTTAGATAAAAAACCGTCATAAGCCATTACCTACTAGCTTAAGCTTTTGGGTCCTTGACATCAAATCATCAAAATCTATTACAGTAAAACTAGGTTACATATATTCTAAGACAGATTTGGGAATCCCACAATAATAAATCCTACTTTGGGCCACCAAATTTACATTTTTTAGCAGTCATTAGTTAGAGAAGCCCATTAATTAGCTTATGTAGCAAAATTTATTTGTTCTTTTCCGTAACACAAACAATCTACCTCCATGATATAAATGCAGACAGATAGCAAGATCTATATTTCAAAGAACATTTTCTGCACCGTAGTCAACACTAGACAGCCATTGGCAAAGCCATAAGCAAACTATTCATGAACAATTAACATCTTTACATAGAGATTTGCACAAAACACAATGCAATAAACAGAAAGGCTAAACACAATTTTCAAATACATTACCTGTTCTGGACCAGCCATATAGGCCCAGTTCACTGGGCTAGCCTCTAAGGACAAATAAAGGGGTTACACCCCTGCATCCCTAAAGTAGACAAATATTAACTCACCACACTGAATCTCACACCCTGCACACGCATCTTAATGACCATGTGAGAATGCTTGCCTCACACCTAATGGGGCCCACAAGGACAGAAACAAGTATGGCTCTCTCATACTCATCGTTGGAGAATCTTTTACACTTATAAATACCCCTCATTTACTATTAAGACCTACTCAACTTTTGCACACCTACTCTCCTTATTGTTACTACGCCGAAATACAGCCGCAGTGCCACCGTGCCCTATACTCTCCCCTTGATTCTCATCTTTTTCCTGAGACCTACTCACAGTGACTCCTAGTAAGTTTTGGTTCTTACCTCTGTCTCACTAGATCACCATTATATAGACATATTACACCCCTCGAGGGAAACATACCTAAATCTACCACACAAACAGTTTAGTACCCATATATCATAATCAAATTATATTTTAATGGACTACCAATTGCAAAAATTGTAGAGATGTACAATTTACATTCAAGAACAGCAACAAGTTAATCATCCGTAAACGAGATGGCAAAACAAAGGCTCATGCTACAAGGAAATGCAAGAGAAAATCAGCATACACAAACCTGGAATGTTCTCTTGCATTCATCAACTAATACTTTAAGCTGATTAACTAACAGCTGCACCATCTCCCTTCGGTTCAAAACCAAAGACACCATTAGGAACCGAGCAAGGAACCTCAATTGCTTGTTTGCAATATTCACATCTTGAAACAACCCCTCCTTAAAATACTCCCTAGTCAATATAGCTTCATAGAATATATAAGACTCTGACAAATAGTTCGCATCGCTCGTGCGCATGTACTGCCCAAAATACAGTTGCCCAATCCGAGACGCAATCTCACCAATCTCCCATCTCCTAAGCCCGGCCTCGACCAGCTTCTGCCGATTCTCCTGTTGAAACTTCCACAGCTGTGTGTACACCTTGAACACCTTACAAAAGTATGTATCATGCCTACAACAAAAGCCACATACACCTCATAAAAGTGCATAAGAGACAATGAACTGTTACACCCACGTTGCTATGTCTGTCACTCATGACTGTGAGAAGCATTAAGCAACAGCCGTCAGTCACAGGCAGTGAATTTAGAGTTCACTGCAAACGGAATCAGTTAGAACTCTGCTAGTCAGTCATGGCATTCAGTTAGGTGGTTATTAGAATCTGTTCATATAAATAAGTATCCTACGTTCAGAAAATAAACACCTACGTTGCTATGTCTGTCATGACTGTGAGAAGCATTAAGTGACAGAAGTCACAGTCAGTGAATTTAGAGTTTCACTGCAACAGAGTTGGTTAGAAGTTAGAACTCTGCTAGTCAGTTATGGCATTCAGTTAGGTGGTTATTGGAATCTGTTTATATAAATATGGATCCTAAAGTTCAGAAAATAACAACGAAAATCAGAATATGATTATAGAAGTTTTCTCTCATTTTCTCTCACTTTCTCTGGCTGGAAAAACGAAGGAAAATTAATGAAAATAATGAAATTGTGATCACCAGAAAAGAGATCATAAGAAAATGGGAGGAACCTGCTACGCTGGTAAAAAGGGATGTCTCTGATTTTGGAGAATTTCTTGTCAGCTTTATCAACGAGAGTCCAGAACACCTCGCTCACTGGAATGTTGCTATTTTGCTGCTGCTGCTGCTGCGACATCTTCAAAACTTCGAAACACGAAGAAAACCTCAATCAACGACGTCGTTTTCGCCACAATCAAGAACCTTATAGCGTGATGATGCCTCAAGACGATGAAAGAGAGTGGACCCGCAGTAACATTTATTACAATATTATTTATGGGATTAATGTTTAAGGAGATAAATTTAAGAGTAAACCCCTTTTTAGTCCCTGTCAATATTTACGAATTCTTTTTTAGTCCCTGGCAATAAAAAAGGACCAAATTGGTCCCTGAAATTACAAAAAAAAGGTCATGTTAGTCCTTATGTCAACTCCCAAATATGTAGAGTGGCCCTTTTCTTGTACTTTCAGGGACCAATTTGGTCCTTTTTTATTGCCAGGGACTGAAAAGGACTTCGTAGATATTGCCAGAGACTAAAAAGGGTGTTTACTCTAAATTTAATTACGAGATCCATATCGGACTACTGTCAAGAAAAGAGAACATATTTTTACGTAATTAGGAGATAAAATTTATTTATTATAATATAAAAAGAAAAAACATTTATCTTTTTAAATGATATCCTTTTAGATTTTAACCGTTGATTTCTGTCCATCAACGATTATAATCTATTGGGTCAAATTTATTATTAATTCATTAATAATTTTAATCCAATAAATTATAACCGTAGATGGATGGAAATCAACTATTAAAATCTAAAATGATATAAGTTTATATCCTTTAAAAAGATACCCGTATAAAAATTATTAAACTTATAGTGTGTATTATTTTACGCGGAAAAAAATAAATTGGAGTCATAGGTTTTTTTTTTCTTTTTGTATTATAGACAAAATTTTATAATTCACTTTAGTGGATAAAAGAATTTTTAGAGATTCTTTACTTTTTGTCCAATATTTGTATTGTCAGAATAATTAAGTACAATTTTGATTAATGTTATATTACTCTCCTTTTTTTTTTAACAAATAAAACGCATAACACTTTGGTTTTATTTGATTTGGTTTTATTAATTTTTGAAAGACAAATGGATTTTTGTTTAATGAAAATATAAAGCTAATAGTTTTTCTAACATAACGTAATTTTTTTTTTAATTTAAAAATAGCTAATACTAATACACAGAACTATTTGATTAGTTTTCGTGTATTAATGTTGTTTAAAAAAATTGATTAATTAATTATTAAAAAACATGTTAAATGTAGGTTTAGTGTATTTTCTCTTATCACAAGAGTTAAAATTAGGCGTTTTGAGAATATTAATATTATAATAAAGAAGTTATTTTTTTCCAAAATGTCTTGTATATTTTCTTTAAAAAATTCAAGATATAATTTGATTGGAAAAATATTTATCATTCTAAATGTTTCAATTATGTTATTTTAAGTAAAGCAATCGGAGCTAACTCAGGAGGAAACTCACAATTTGCAGAGGAGCAAGAAAAAATACAAAAGGGGAGATTCCTCTTTCAGCCATGACGTTGTATGGTACCAGAGGAAGATGATTCGACAGAGGAGAGGATGTCATTCAAGGAAATGCTTATGAGGCATAATGGTGAATGGGAGATGCATGAGGCGGAGGAGGAATTCCAATCGGAAAAGGAGGATGAAAATTTTGTAGATGCAGAGGCTGAATCAAAGGAAGATTCAAAGAACCCAGAGGTCGTTCGCGTAAAGGATGGGGACGGTAAAACTAATTTTCAGCTGTCTGCTGGTTTCAAGAAGCGTGCATGGATGCCCTGGAGAAAGGCGTTGTATGAGAAGCTGCTAGGAAAGAAACTTGCCCTCCCTATTATGAAGAAGCGTCTGGAGAACATGTGGGCAAGGGAAGGAAAAAATTTTGTCACAGATGTGGAAAACGGGTTTTTTTTTTTAAGATTTTCTGACAAAAAAGACATGGACTTTGCTGTTACTGCTGGACCTTGGGTTTTGTTTGATCATTATTTAGCTATTAGGTTGTGGGAGCCTGATTTTCAATCTCATTTTGCTGCTATTGATCGTATTCTGGCTTGGGTCTGTCGTCCTAGCTTTCCAGTAGAATATGTTAACACAGAGTTAATAAATGAAGTAGGCAATTGGCTAGGAAAATTTGTAAAGATGGATGCTGCCACAACCTGCCTGGTTAGGGGAAATTTTGCAAGAATTTGTGTTGAATTAAATTTGGGGGAACCACTGCATGCAGAGTACAAGATAGAAGGAAAATTAAAACAAGTTGAGTATGAGAGGTTGCATTTTGTTTGCTTTAACTGTGGAAAATATGGGCATCGATCTGAGAACTGTCCATCGAAAGCAATGCAAGTATTAGCTGAAACAAGTGGAACTAATATGCTGGAAAATAATATGGGGGAGGACAAACAAGAAAATAGGGACCTGGAAAATACAGAAAACAAGCAGGAAGGAAACTATGGTCCCTGGATGCTTGTTAACAAACAGAGGAGACAAAATAAGAATGTCATCAATCAGGGGGGGAAAGAAGGATCTTCTGCTGTTAATGATGGTAATTTGAAAAGCTCTAGATTCAGTGTTCTGTATAATGTAGAAGAAAATGAGGAAAGGAAGGTTGTAGATGAGAAGGAAAATAGTTTATCCTTTCATAGGGACTTGGGAATGACAACAGAGGTAGGAAAAAAAAAGGGAGTTCGACCTTCTAATCAAGTAGTGGAAACTGCCAATGGGTATATTGTGGTGGATGGGGAGACAGGAAAAAAAATTGAATGTTTGGAGCGTGTGGGTAAGAATGGTGGCCAATCTGCTGTTGCTGGAAATCCGAATCATGATGCTGCGGAGGATAACAAAATGGCTGTGGATAATCAGGGTAATCAGGAAGGAGGTACGGTTGGTCAAAATCAAGGGAAAGGTGATGTTACTCACGAAGAGCTCTCTTCAATCCAAAGCACAAGTCTCAATTGGGTGAGGAGAAGGTCTGTGAATCAAGGTCAAAAATCTCTGGATCAGTCTAAGAAACATGTTTCTAGACCTCCAGATACTTTGGCTCAAAGTACCAAGAAGTTAGATGAAAATAAAAGGAGTAGTTCCTTGGTTCGTACACATCTGGTGAATAAATCAGAAGCTCAGGGGAAGCAGGTATGCCTAAAACTTTCAAAATTTGAGACTCTTTTATGTCTTTGCTTTTTTGGAATGTAAGAGGAGCTGCTAATAAGAGTTTGTGGCAAGCTCTAAAGTTGAAAATTAGGAAATTTAATATTGGTTTGGTTTTTCTGTTTGAACCTAGAACTCATAGTTTAACTTGTCAAAAAATAATGAAATATATTGGTTTTGATGGTTGCTGTGTGGAGGAAGCTCAAGGGTTTTCAGGAGGAATCTGGGCTATATGGTCTTCAAATAAGTTTCTGGTGGATATTATAAAACAGTCTACGCAATTTATGCATATGAATATCAAGATTCAAGGTCATTCCCATTTTGTATGTACTGCGGTCTATGCAAGTCCTAGGAAAGTTGAAAGACAACAACTCTGGAATGACTTGAAAGATATTGGAAACTCATCCTCGGAGGCTTGGATTATGGGGGGTGATTTTAATAAAATTGCTAGAATGTATGAGAAAAAGGGAGGTAATCCTCCTGATAGCAGTAAATGTGAGCTGTTCAGTTCGGTGCTTGATGACTGTAATGTTGTTGATTTGGGTTGCAGTGGGTCTCCCTTTACTTGGCAAGGTCCTAAATGGGGTCATTTGGATAGAATTTTTTAAAAGATTGGATAGGGTGGTGGTAAATTTAACTTGGAGGTTGGAATTTGATGAGGCTAAAGTAACAAATCTGCCAAGGTTACAGTCAGATCATAATCCTATTTTGCTCGATCTATTTGATATCAATGTTGTTCCCCTGTTAGACCTTTTCGTTTTATAGCTGCTTAGCAAGATCATCCTGGTTTTAATCAGTTTATGGGGTCTAATTGGAAAAACTATTTTGATATTCCTTACATGTTACTACGGTTCATACCAGATATTAAAGAGTGGAATATAAAAGTTTTTGGAAATATCCAGCATAGAAAATCGGGGTTGTTAAAAAGATTAGAAAGAATTCAGAATCAAAGAACCCAGTGTGACTTTGATAGATTGGGTAGATTGGAAATTTTTTGCCAAATGGAGATTACAAAAATTTTGAAAGAGGAGGAGAATCTCTGGTTCCAAAAGTCGAGGCAACAGTGGATCAAAGATGGTGACAGGAATACTAAACATTATCATCTTTGTACAATTTTACGCAGGAACAATAATAAAATTATTAGACTCAAAGATGATGGCAATAGATGGATTTCTAATCAGGAGGAGTTGAAAAATATGGCTTGCAATTACTACAAAAATCTGTTCACTGATGAGATTAATATTAGGAGGTGGTTGAACTCAGAGAACCTTTGGCCTCATATATCTTATGTGAATAATCATAATCTGGGACAGTGGCTCTCTTTTCAGGAGATTCACAATGTTGTTTTTGGTATGGGCAGTTTGAAAGCTCCTGGTTTGGATGGATTTCTGGCTGTATTTTTTCAGAAAAATTGGGATGTTGTAAAGGATCAAATTTGTAGCCTTGTGAATTCTATTTGGGATTATCCAGAACTCATTGCTTCCATTAATTCAACTCTTCTTGTTCTTATCCCAAAGAATCAGAACCCTTTCAATATAACTCAGTTCAGGCCCATCTCTCTCTGTCGTGTTATTTACAAGATAATTACAAAAATCTTGGTGTCAAGGTTGAAGCCTATAATGATGAAAATGATATCTCCGTTTCAGGAAAGTTTTATACCTCAGAGGCATATTCAAGATAACATTATAGTGGTTCAAGAAATCATCCACACGATGCACCGCATGAGAGGTAAGAAAGCCTTCATGGCAATAAAAGTTGATTTTGAGAAGGCTTATGATAGAATAAATTGGAGTTTTTTTGGAAAAACTATGCATGAAATGAAGCTGCCTCAAAAAAATGGTTGATATTATTATGCAAGCTATTTCTTCCTTCAAAATGAACTTTTATGGAATGGTAATTTGACTGAGGAGTTTCAGCCTTCACGGGGTATAAGGCAAGGTGATCCATTATCACCTTATCTCTTTGTTATGGGTATGGAAATTTTTCCCCACATTGTTCATACAACAGTAAATGGAGGTATCTGGAACCCAATCAGAATAGGCAAGGAGGGCCCTAGTCTGTCTCATTTAATGTTTGCAGATGACCTGATGCTTTTTGCGGAGGCGAATGTGGATCAGATTAATGTTGTTTTAAAATGCCTGGATTTATTTGGTGAAATTTCAGGTCAAAAAATCAGTACCCAGAAAACAAGTATTTTCTTTTCTAGAAATACTCCGGAGGAAATGGCCAGAAACATATTAGATATTTGTAATTTCAAGAGGGTCAGAAATGTGGGCAAGTATCTGGGGGTTTGAATGCAACATGGCTGTGTCACTAAAGATTCTTATAAGGCAACAATTGATAGGGTGAATGATAAGCTTTCGGGGTGGAAGGCAAATTGTTTATCCCAAGCAGGAAGAGTTACTCTCTCCCCATCTGTTTTGGCTTCTGTTCCTTATTTCCAAATGCAGGTTGGTGGTCTCCCCAATGCAGTTTGTCTGGAAATAGAGAAAACTCAAAGAAGATTTATTTGGGGTGATAGAGATTGTAAAAGACATATGCATTAGGTGAATTGGGATATTATTTCAAAACCAAAGGTGAGAGGAGGGCTTGGTTTGAAAAAATTAATTCTCATGAATGAGGCTTTTATAGCTAAACTTGCTTGGGCTGTGTTCACTCAACCCCAAGCTTTATGGGTTCAGGTTCTTAAAATGAAATATGTGAGTGGTAGGGAAGGCATAAACATCTTTAGATATAAGGCAGGGGATTCCAGAATTTGGAAGAATGTTTGTAATGATCTGGAAAAATTTGGAAGAGTTTTTAATGTGGGAGATTGGTGATGGGAGGGTAATCCAGTTCTGGATGGATAAATGGATTAGTAATTCTGGAAGATTAATGGATTATGATGTTCATCCAGTTGAGTGGAATGAGATAAATAAAACTGTTAATCAGTATACTGATACAAATGGTGTTTGGAAAGTAGAGGAGATGAGAGCTTGGCTGCCCACTGATGTTATTAATAAAATCCAAAGCATCCTTCCTCCTAATTGTAATGATGGAGCGGATCGGCTGCATTGGTGCTTTCCTGGTTTCCAAAGAGTATCAGTTAAAGGTATTTATACTGCCCTTTCTGATTCTTATGATATTCAAAGTGAGAGTCTCGAGTTGTGGAAGTCAATTTGGAAGTGGTTTGGCCCTCAAAGAATTAAATTGTTTCTCTGGAAGGTGGGTCATGAAAGGTTACTAACCAAGTATAGATTGAGCAGGTTTAATTTGGGCAGCCCCATATGTTCGATTTGTAATCAAGAGATTGAAAATATCTTTCATTTATTGAGGGACTGCCCAAGTATTAGAAGAATTTGGAATCGTCTTTCTCCTCTTCTAGCTGTTCCGAATTTCTTTTCCTCTCAAAATGTGCAGGACTGGTTAATAGGTAATTTGAATGAGTTTTCTGTTTGTTGTTTTGAACTTCCTTGGGCTTTGATTTTTGGTATAACTTGTTGGAAAGCTTGGAATTGGAGAAATGAGGTTATTCATAACTCGGGTAGATTGGATTGTCGTTATAATCTGGAGATGATTTTTTCATTTGCTAAAGAGGTCCTCTTATCTTTTAAATCGGATTGTGTGTCTATGCATACAAATCCTTTGCCTGTGAATTTAATTAGGTGGGTGCCTCCTGATGATGATTGGATAAAAATTAATACGAATGGTGCCTCGAAGGGTAATCCAGGCATGTCTGCTTGTGGGGGATTGATCAGAGGTGCTGATGGTAAGTGGTTGGAAGCTTTCTCTTATAGGATTGGTTACTGTACTGCAATTATAACTGAATTGTGGGGTATCCTAAACGGGTTGGAAAGAGCTTGGGTTGGTGGTTGGAGAAAGATTATTTTAGAGAGTGATTCAGCTTATGCTATCACTTTGCTCACCAAATCTGGTGATGATTCCTGTGAGTCCCATTTAGTGACTCATATACGGGATTGGCTCTCAAAGGATTGGACTGTCAGGTTACTTCATACTTACAGGGAAGGAAATGTCTGTGCGGACTGGCTAGCAAACCTTCCTCGTCTGAAGCTAGATCAGGAGGATTTTGTAGTTTTTTATGTTCCACCTTTGGATATTAAGTGGCTGTATTTTTCTGATTTTAGCTCTGTTCACAGGGCTAGACATTCGTTGATGTAGTTCTTTTCTGTTTTGTCTTGGGCTGTGCCCTCACAAAAAAAAGAGTAAAGCAATTGTATTTACTGCATTTTTGTTGACTTTCATATTCTCTCTCCTTCACCGTACTTTCTTTTTGTCTTTTATCTTAATTTTATAGAAAAGAGAATATAAAAAAAAATCAAATATGCAACAAAATATAATTATTTCACTTAAAATATACAAAGTCATATTCTTTAAAATAATAAATATTTATTATTTTAAATAAAATGATTGCATTTTGGTATATATTTAATACTTTTTTATATTTTATTTCTTTTATTAAATTAAAAGGAGAGAAAAATAGAAAGTATTATAGAAGATAGAGAAGTAAAAACAGTCAAATATGCACGAAAACATTCTTTGCAAAATGATAAATATTTTTCAATTATTATATTTTATTAAAAAAAAAAACCACTACTAGGGGCTAGGGCTTATGAGCCAATGGCCCACGTGTGAAAGAGCCCAACAAAAACGCGCAAGTGGGAATGAGTGGGGTTTTTTCTTTCTAAAAAGTGGTGAAGCTGTGAAGAGAAGACACACGGTGTAATCAGTAATCAGCGATTTGTGGTGGTAGTGATATGGATCGAGAATGGGGTTCGAAGCCAGGGAGCGGTGGTGCTGCGACGGCGCAGAACGAAGCCATCGACCGTCGAGAGCGTCTCCGGCGACTTGCTTTGGAAACAATCGATCTCGCAAAAGATCCCTATTTCATGCGAAATCACCTTGGGAGCTATGAATGCAAACTGTGTCTCACTCTTCACAACAACGAGGGTAACTACTTGGCACACACACAGGGAAAACGACACCAAACCAATTTGGCAAAGCGTGCTGCTCGCGAGGCCAAAGACGCACCCGCTCAACCCCAACCTCACAAGCGCAAAGTCTCCCTTCGAAAAACAGGTTCCATTTACTGTATTCTAGTTCTGCATGTATCAGATTCTGCTCTCTCTCTTTTTCTGTTAGTTTGTTATTAATAATTTGTTATCCTTTTAGTTAGTTAGTTTGTTTGATGACTCATCTCTATAAATAGTGTAACCTTCTTTCTGATCTCAGTAGTAGTATGAATTCATTTCAGATATTCTCTCTTTTGAATTTCTCTGACTTTCCTGCATTTTCTCAGTGTTTCTCATATAATTCTAATATCTCTTACATATGATATTCACCAAATCAATATATTCAATTTTATGTGTTGACAGTTAAGATTGGTCGCCCTGGCTACCGTGTCACTAAGCAATATGATCCTGACACTAAGCAACGATCTCTCCTCTTCCAGGTTTAGTTATTTATTTATTTATTTAATTTTGCACACTAAATACTCACTTTAGTTGAGTTATGAAAGGTAAATGATATAGTATTAGTAGCATTAGTTCTTGAATGAAAACAGAAGACTACAACACAAGTTTAGTTGATGGAAATATTAATTTCTTTTGTGTTGTTAGTTATTTGATGACCAATGTACAGGACTGAAAATTTTGTGATACTCATGGATAATATAAAGCAAAATTTTTATAATATCCTTTGTGTCAGGCATTGTTTTGGATACAATAAAGTTGGGATAATGAAGAAATAGAAGTTTTAGGTTTTTTTTTCTCTTTTCATTTTGTGGACAAGATTATGTAACTTGATTAGGGTTGACAAAAGTTTTTAAATTTGTTATCCTGCTTATATTATTTAAACAATATTTCAGTTGTGTTGACTCTTAATTTTTAGCAAACCAAAGATACCCGTAGGGGTTATCAGGGAGTAATTTGACCAATATAATATATAGTTAGGAATCTTGGACATAACTTTTAGCTTTTAGGAATTAATATGACTGAACGTGTATCCTTTCTCTTTCATAGAATAGTTATACTTTTTACTGTCTTTTGCATCATCTTCTTTAATTGGTTCATTTTCCCTTCACCGCAGTTTTCTCAACTTTTATTCTTCTTAGCTTATGTGATAATATCATTTTTTATAAAAGAGTTTCTAATCGATTAATGTAGATTGAATATCCTGAGATTGAAGACCTCTCGAAGCCAAGACACCGATTCATGTCTTCCTACGAGCAGGTTCTTTCTCTCTCTCTCTCTCTCTCTCTCTGTGTGTGTGTGTGTGTGTGTGTGTGTGTGTTATGAAGTCAAAGTTACACGTTTGTTGTCAATAAAGCCATGTTTTAACATCTTTGTTTTTCTCTTTGGTCACATTTTTATGGACGCAGAGAGTGCAACCATTTGATAAAAGATATCAATATCTTTTGTTTGCAGCTGAACCATATGAAATAGTTGCTTTCAAGGTAAATCATTGCCTTTGTCTTTTTTGTTTTTCAAACTTGTTTTGGGCCTTGAGTTCCAATGTTTTGAGTTGTGGAAATTTACTTTTTGGTGCTGATTAATCTAAATTTTTAGGTACCTAGCACAGAGATTGATAAGTCCACTCCAAAGTTTTTCTCGCACTGGGACCCAGACTCAAAGATGTTCACGGTTAGTACATTTACTCCGCTTTACTGTTTGTGATGGAAAATTTGATCTATCCAAGCACATGTTTTGTGTGTGATTAGGAATAAGTTGATATCGGCTTCATTCATGTCTAAATAAGAAGCTTTTATAATATTTAAAATTTGGTTGAGTGGGTCTTCACGGTATGTTTAGTAATTTACCTTTTACAGTTTTGCTTTTATTAGATAATATTTAAAATTTGGATCATGTGCATTTATAATTTGCAAGCATAGATGAAACCCAATTCGTAAGCATAGATGCATCATATTTTACTTCTCCTTTTTAGTAATTTAATATGTAATTTTTTTATTTTATTTTAACATCCAAATGACATTTTTACTACATTTCAGATTCTACATATCCTTTTGAATTTGGAAAATGGTCCTTATACACAAACAACGCATAGAAAGTCCTTTTCAAAAATCTATACAGACATGCTCCTATACAAGCCAATGAACATTGTATATTAATCTTGAGAGCATGCAATAAGGAAAACACACATTGTGTGTGTGTATGTGTATAATGGTATGATACCACAGCCGGATGGCCTTAGTCCTTAGACACCCAAGACAAAGTCAAGTAAATCAAATTGTTGCATTTTAATTGTTTGCCCTTGTTATTATTAGTGCGAACTAGTGGCTCAAACATTTAACAGCAGAACTAGACTGACAATCCTTTCTTCGTTCTTGCTTTCTTTCTTTTGTTCTTTTTTGATTTTGCGGGGTTTATTATTGATATTTAATTTACACCATCCGTTACTGATGACGAGATTGATACTTGTTGCAGCTGCAGTTGTATTTTAAAACTAAGCCACCAGAGGCAAACAAACCACAGCCTGCCTCTACAGCCAATGGCACAGCAGCACCTGGTGTTCCACCAAGGCCTATGCCCCCACCATCCCAAGCTCCACCACCACCACCTCCTCCTCCGCAAGGGCTACCTCCTGGTGCACCTCCTCCAATGCCAGGATCATTGCCGCCTCCACCTCCTATGTCAGCAAATGGTCCTAGACCTGCACCTCCTGGTGGAATGCCATCTCTCCCACCCCCACCACCTGTTGGCAGCGGCTCAACGGCTGGTTTCAATATGGGTACGAGGCCTCCATCAATGCCACCTCCACAAGGTTTTCCACCCCAACAAATGCAAAGCCAGGGTATGCGTATGCCTCCTCCACCCCCTAACATGGGACAGTAGGTCCTCAGGCCTTAGGGCAGAACGGTGACCATCATTAGAAGTCTTAAGCAACTGTAGTAAAATGTCCCTTATCCAACAAGGACCAACAGCTTTTTTATATCAGAGTCTAGATTTCATAAGAAACGCACCAAATTTCCTGTACACTGTTATTGTATCAAGCCTTCGAGTATTGACTGTGTTCCCCAACATGGGGTTCTCAAAATTCTTGATATGGTTGGTAAATTTTTGGTTTGAATTGTAAGATTACTGTTCAGTGTTCATGCTTGATCGGGTTTATGTCTTATGTAGTAACAGATAATAACCCCATATTATCCGCTTGGTGATTCATACATCAACGCATTAGATTTGGGTCATTTATTTTTAAATACCAACTATGCCAGATGAAAATGTTTTATAATTATAACCTACGTGCCTATCTGGCCTCCGACTACATATACATTTTAGAGCACGCACAAAAGGTGATCGAGTTCGAATGTGGGTAGTTTGTAGGGATTTTCTGTATGTTTTATTTGATGCTAGAAGTGTTAGTAGTTACGCCCTATTGCGATGTATCGGCCACATCAAAAGCATAGGTTTTGGGCTCTTCAACCACTGGCTAACTGTGGGAACAATGATTGCCATAAATAAAGGCACGTGGGCGTTTGCTTCGGGAGAAAAATAATTTTAACAGGAAAATAAAATTACTAGAAATATTGTTGAAAAATGATTTTAATAGGAAAGTTTGATAAAAGTTGTTTGGTACGTTGAAATATTATTGGAAAAATTGAGTTAAATTTTTTGAGTGTATGCTTTGTTGAAGGTAAAATATTGATAGAAAAATTGATTAAAAATATTAAAATATCCCTTTTTCAAACTTTTTGAATGTGAATTACCGTTGCGTAAAGTCTCTGCTTGTCTGCATCCATTGTGTAAAGTCTCAAATCAGTGTGTGTTGGTCTGCATCTGGTTCTCCTTCTTGTCTATTTAGCCGGTCAAACCCAAATACCACCTCCAAATTGTCTTTGTGAACAGTGACTTCTATATGATTTTTGCAAGCATTTTTCAAACGCCATGCAAATATGGTGCCTGGGGAAAAATTTCAAATCTCTCTACCAAACATGACTTACACACTTTGCCAACCTCAAATGCATAGGAAACTATTTAGATAACCTGAAGCAAACGCCTTTTGTAGCATGGATAGCCCCCTCAGAAAAGGACGGGAGAGTTGTTTGCAATTGTCCCTGCCATATTACCAATGAAAAAGGGACGAGAGAATTAAAATTGATGTGTTTTTATTTTCTTATAAAAATAAATTGACTTCCTTTGTAATTATCCCTTATAGTACGTTTGTAATTTAAATTGATAAATGAAATACAAAGATTTTTTTGTCCATATATACATGAAAGAGATATGACCATTTTTCAACTAAAAAAGAATGTCCTACATTAAAACTTATATCGAGTCCCTTATTAGAGTTCAAATCCAAGTTCATCCAAAAAAAAAATAAAAGTTCATAAGACAACAGCAGTAACATAAAGACTGCTAAATTTTAAACAAAAGAACAGAACAAAAACTGATAAGATAACAATGTATAGAAAAAGCAAATGCTTTTTTATTCACGAGCAACAAGTATATAGTACATTGATACTGCCCACAAGACAATCAGCAATAGAAAACATCATCATACAGTTCGGTAAGATGACTGCAAAGGTGATATAAAATGTTGCTACATTTTCAACCAAAAATCAGAACAAAAACTGATAACATAACAATGTATAGAAAAAGCAAATGCTGTTATTCACGAGCAACAACAAGCACTTGTTTTCCAACATTTCGACCACTAAAAAGGCCAACCAATGCTGCAGGGCCATTCTCAAGACTGTAGCAAATTGACCCAAACGTGTTATTAATCAGCCCAAACATTTGGCTGACTATTGGGCCCTTAACTAGAGAATATGTAATATGAAATGATTAATGGATAGCCCATTAACATTTCATCAGTATTATAAAAGATACCATTAGGTAATGAGAAGATATATAGAAAATTTCCACAATCTCTCTCTTTCTCTCTCTCTTTTTTCTATTACGTTTAACAACCACACGCTACATTGGTGCTTTCATTGATCTCCGTCGCTTTCCATGGCGGACACTAATATCAACACGCGCTACCGCGATTTACAAACCCAGCTCGCCGAGCTGCAACAGCAACAACTCCTTATTCCAGATCTGATCCGTGACCAGGTCCTTTTACTCAGATCTGATCTGCATGCGGAGTTTAACACAATCGTTGAATCCCTGCGTCACCAGAACTCCGGTATCCTCGGGCACAGTCCAGGTGGTCCTTCTTCTCCTTCGACGGACTCGTCCATTCAACCGCTAGCTCAACGCCCTCGTCTGGCTTTTCCTCGATTTGCTTTGGGGGATCCCACCGATTGGCTCTTTGCAGTCGATCGTTACTGTCTATATCACAAAATCCTTGATGGTGAACGTCTCCTTCTCGCTTCCTTCCACTTAGATCCACCAGCTGCTCGTTGGTTTCAAGGTTTGAACACCGATGGCTTGTGCACGTCGTGGACTGCCTTTACTGTGGCACTCCACCGCTGCTTCAGCCCCACTGAATTCCAAGATACTGCCGGTAAACTAACTAAACTTACTCAACTGGTTCTGTTTCTGATTATCAGGCTCAATTTGAGACGCTGCCTAGCAAGGTTCGCAACATTCATCCAGCGTTACTTAAGAGTACTTTCATCAGTGGTTTACGACCACAAATTCGACGTGCGGTCTTGACAATGCGTCCCCCAGACCTTCATGACTCGTTTGCTCTTGCACGGCTTTTCGAAGATCAGTTTTCTGATGAACGACCTGCTCCTAAACCCTGGATTCCTCGAGCTCCAACCCCTGCTGCCTTACCTGCCCCTGCTACGTTGTTACTGCCCAAACCAGCTACCACTGATGTTACCCCTGCTCTTCCTATTAAGCGCTTATCTCCAGCTGAACGGCAAGCTCTGCGTGATCGTAACTTGTGTTATAATTGTGATGAACGATACACTTTTGGGCATAGATGTATGGGCAAGGCTACTCTTCTTTACTTTGCTGGCACGGATGATGATCCTGACATTGTTCCTGAATCTTCCTCACCACTTCCTATAGACACCGTGGTGGATGCTGCTCCTGCATCTGAGATCAGCTTAAATGCTATGTTTGGTCACCCTTCCAACCGATCCTTTCGTTTACAGGGGTCTATCGCTGGCCATCATGTTCAGGTTCTCATCGATTCTGGCAGTACACACAACTTCCTGTCTACACGCATGGCAAACCATTTGGCACTCACTCTTCATGCCATTCATCCCTTCCAGGTTCGAATAGGAAATGGGGATTCCATGCTCTGTTCGGCAGCTTGTTATAATGTGGCCTTACTATTATAATCTCATCAATTTGTCACTGATTTATTTGTTTTGGACATCAAAGGTACAAATGTTGTCCTTGGTGTTCAGTGGTTGGCCACTTTGGGCCCCATTCTTACTGATTACACTGCCATGACTATGTCCTTTCAATTTAAGGATTTATCGTTGGTTTTATATGGTGTTACGTCCATCAGCCCAACTTCTATTTCCTCTTCTCAATTGTCCAAATTAGCTACTAATAATGGGCTGACTTCTTGTTTCATGTGCTTTAATGCCCCCACCCATGACCCTGCTATTTCAATGGCCCAACCACCATTTTCAGATACTTTGTCCACACATCCCGAGGTACTTCAGTTACTATCCAAATTTCAAGATGTCTTTGCAGTACCTACTACGCTTCCTCCGGGGCGAGCTCATGATCATCACATTCATTTGTTGCCAAATACAAAGCCCATACAGGTTAAACCTTATAGATACCCTCATTTTCAAAAATCTGAAATTGAGAGGTTGGTGAAGGAGATGCTAGAGGCGAGTGTGATACGTCCTAGTCACTCTGATTTTAGTTCCCCGGTTTTATTAGTAAAAAAAAAAAAGATGGTACGTGGTGCTTTTGTGTTGATTATCGAGCCCTTAATGCGGTGACTGTTAAGGATCGTTTTCCAATTCCTACGGTTGATGAATTACTCGATGAACTACATGGTGCTACTGTTTTCTCCAAGCTAGACTTACGTTCTGGATACCATCAAATTAAAATGAACCGGGCAGATATTCCTAAGACCGCATTTCGGACTCATCATGGGCATTATGAGTTTTTGGTGATGCCTTTTGGCCTCACTAATGCTCCCTCATCCTTTCAGGCTACCATGAATGACATTTTTGCAGCTTATTTACGCAAATTTGTGGTGGTTTTTTTTATGATATACTTGTTTATAGTCCTTCTCTTCAGGTCCATATGGAACATTTAGCTCTTGTGCTTCAGGTGCTGCGCCTTAATCAATTTTTTGCAAAGGATTCTAAATGAAGTTTTGCCACACCTCATATTACATTTTTGGGCCATGTCATTTCCCATGAGGGCGTCCATCCTGACCCTTCTAAGGTGCAGGCGGTTAAAGAGTGGCCAATTCCCACGTCCTAGACACACGTCCCCACTTTCTTAGGCCTCTCTGGCTATTACAGGCGCTTTATTAAACATTATGCTAGTGTTGCCGCTCCCCTTACTGATTTGCTGACTAAGAAAGGTTTCAAGTGGACCATTAAGGCTACCCAAGCTTTTATTTTGCTTAAGGAACTGTTAACGTCTGCTCCCACTTTGGTTTTGCCAAATTTTTCACTGCCATTCGTTATTGAGGTTGATGCCTCTGGGGTTGGAATTGGTGCTGTTTTATTACAGGAGGAACATCCCCTTGCTTTTTTTAGCAAAATATTGTCTCTGCTAATGCAACGTAAATCGGCTTGCAGTCGTGAGTTATTTGCTTTAACTTCAGTCGTGGCCAAGTGGAGACAATGTTTACTGGGTGCTAATTTTTTAATTCGCACTGATCATCAGAGCCTCATTGTTTGATGACTCAGGTGATGCAGACCCCAGAACAGCAGCAATTTTTGGCCAAATTACTGGGGTATGACTATTCTATAGTATATAAATCCGAAAAGACTAATAAGGCCGCAGATGCCTTATCCAGACAACCTGACCTTGGGCCTCAGGACTCTTCGGCTCAGTTTGCTGCCCTCACAGGCCCCATTTCTACTTACGGTACACTGTTATAGTCCGAATTATTACAAGATGATTATGCCAAAAAAATCATTACTGAATTACAGACAGCTAATTCTACTTGGCCACAATGGTCCTTCCAGCATGGCCTTTTGTATCATCGGGGTCGCCTCTTCATTCCGGCTGCCTCTCAACTGATTCCACTTCTGTTATCGGAGTTCCATTCTTCCACCTTGGGAGGTCACGCTGGCATTCATCGAACCTTGACTCGTCTTTGTGCCCGCTTCACCTGGGTTTCAGTAAAAAAAGATGTTAAGGCGTATATTCAAGGCTGTGAAACTTGTCAAAAAATAAAGGCTGCCAACCATGCTCCTTATGGTTTACTGCAACCGTTGGCCATTCCATACACCATCTGGTCTGATCTCAGCATGGATTTCATCACTCAGTTTCCATTATCAGCTGGCTATACAACCATTCTGGTGGTTTGTGACCGTTTGACCAAGGGTGCACATTTTGCCCCTCTGCCCCCACAATACACAGCGGTTAAGGTTGCTTCCGTCTTTTGGGATACGGTTGGGACGTTACATGGACCTCCCAAATCTATCGTCTCCGATAGAGATCAAATTTTTCTCAGTGAATTTTGGACCTCCTTATTTCAACTACAGGGTACGAGCCTCAAGTTCAGCTCTTCATACCACCCCCAGACCGACGGTCAAACAGAGCGTACCAATAGGGTTTTGGAACAATACCTGCGAGCATTCGTCCATGACCAGCCAACTACATGGGCTCATTTTCTGAGTTGTGTTGAATACCATTTCAACACTGCCTTTAACCGCTCATTGGGTTCTTCGCCATTCGAAGCAACTTTTGGCCGATCCCCACCCTGCCTTCTCCACTACTCTTTGGGTACCAGCCCTCTGGAAGCTGTTGACCATGATCTTCGTCTCCGTTCCCAGATCTTACTCACATTAAAAGAAAATTTGAGAAAAGCTCAAACCTTTTTGAAAGACTCAGCAGATAAAAAAAGGAAAGATATTACCTTTCAGGTCGGTGATTTGGTCCTTCTCCGGTTACAACCCTACCGCCAAGTTTCGGTCTTCCGCCGTTCTTCTGCCAAGTTGAGTCTCAAATTTTACGGGCCCTTCACGGTGGTTGAACGCATCGGCCTAGTTGCTTATAAACTCCAGTTGCCTAAGGGCTCGAGAGTACACCCGGTGTTTCACGTCTCCATGTTGAAACCCTTCGTGGCAGGCCGCCCATATACTCTGCATCCCTTTCCGGATAGCGTGATACAGATCCCCCCACGACACAAACCCGTGGCTGTGGTTGCTTCTCGCACAGTATGGCGAAAGGGAATTGAAGTTCCCCAAGTTTTGGTACATTAATGGTCCGAGTTGCTTCCTGAAGCTGCGACTTGGGAAGACAAAGGAGAATTAGAGTCCCTCTATTCCATATGCCAGAAGTCTTTAACCAACGCTCAGCTACCTTCTGATGTTGTGCCTTCCACCGTTTCACCAGCCAATCACGTGGCTGCTTCGAGATTTACGGCCAATCAGAATGCAGGGCCCCTCATCCCATCTCACCTAACCCCTGTGTTACCTGCTCCACCAATTAATGATAGGGCATGTTCCAGTCCACTTAATGGCCTTGAGGACAAGGTCCAATCGGATGGTGAGGGCATTGTAGCGAATCGACCCAAACGTGTTATTAAACAGCCCAGACATTTGGCTGACTATTGGGCCCTTAACTAGAGAATATGTAATATGAAATGATTAATGGATAGCCCATTAACATTTCATCAGTATTATAAAAGATACCATTAAGTAATGAGAAGATATATAGAAAATTTCCACAATCTCTCTCTTTCTCTCTCTTTCTCTTTCTCTTTTCTGTTACGTTTAACAACCACACGCTACAAAGACCCTCAGCTATGTCTGCAACATACTCAATCTTCCCTTCTCTTATAAGAGGCAGGACAAACTCCAGGAATTTGGGATATAGGTGATAGAAATCAGCTACAACAAAACCCTGCATACGAATCCGCTTATATATGAAAGATGTCAAGTTTGTTAGACCTTCAGGTTGAGAAAGATTATACTGTGAGATCATTCCACATACGGGTATGCGGCCATGGATTCTCATATTCAGGAGTACGACATCAAGTGTCTTGCCCCCGACATTCTCGAAGTAAACGTCAATGCCTTCTGGAAAGTGCCTGATTTGTATATTCACATACACTAGTCACTACTGTGTTTTATTACTAAGGATAATAGTGTAAATTTTAATGGCCATAAGAAAAGTTAATCTAAATTTCTCTATAAAAAAAACTGTTAAGTACAGACCTTTTCAAAGCTTCATTGAGGTCAGGCTCTTCCTTGTAGTTAATACCTCCATCAAATCCAAATTTATTCTTCAATAAATCCACCTGATGCATTCAAGTGAAAGGAGGACTTAGTATTTTTTGTTTCTAGTATAACAAAATCTAGTATAGGCCCTTAGTAATCATAATCCTTCACAACAATTTGTTTCTATTCAGAAATTTAGGAGAAAGACAAGTACTAGTGTTAATCTATGGCACAATTAAAAATACCTCTCTCCATTAAATCCCAACTAGCTGAAGACAATCCTTGTGCATAGTCTTTACCGTTACATATTTGCAAAGAGATGTTTCCTGGATTTAAACTTGCAAACTTTTAGTCACAGAGGAGCAACTTTATCACTACTCTAGGTTCGCCATCTAATCTATGGCACAATTCATTTTGTAAATTTCTTCTTCCGCCTTCTTTGTATAAGGGGAAGGGAGTTCGATACTGCTTTGCTAGACCAAGGGTATATATAGTAGAGGATCAATTTTTTTGACATAAGTAACCAGATATTCCATTGACTAAAAGGAACGAAATGTATTTTAATTCCACCAATAATCATGGGAATTTAGAAAAAAAGAAGAAGCATAAGATGGCTCAAAGTCTTCATTGAGAAAAGATTTCTATTTAAAAGAGAATATTGCTCAAGCTCGGAAGGAAGAAATATTTTTATAAACTAAATATGCTAATAAGAAAAACACTAGTATATTAAACTAGAGAACAAACAACGAGATTATATTTATAACCTTTTTTCATTTACAATCTCTTACAATCAAATATTAACCGTTGATTTCCGTAAATTTAACGGTTATAACTTATTGAGAATTAATAATTAATTAATAAGTATGGCCCAATAAATTATAATCGTTAAAAATCAACAATTAAGATTTGATTGTAAGTGACAAGAGATTATAAATATAATCTTCCTCCGTAACAAATAAGGAATAGGTGATGCTGAAACAGTACCTTTTCTTTAGTTCCAGCACTTCCAACGACATAACAACCTGACAATTTAGCAAATTGTCCAACAAGTTGACCAACAGCACCAGAGGCAGCTGAAACAAAAACATTCTCTCCTCTCTTGAGAGAAATTACTTCAAAAATACCCAAATACGCAGTCATTCCTGGCATACCTGTGTTCAAAGATGAGCATACATTGGTCAAATCAAAACACAATAAAATGAAGAGGAAGAATGTATACTCAGAATATTAAAAAAATTAAACAAAAAAGTATAATATAAATTGAGAAGAGTTTACCACAGAGTTGTGGCTGCAATAGACCTACAAAATATTAGCTATCAATTCCAAACGAACATAACCATGCTGATCAACCAATTAATCTAGTGAATCAAAGATCAATTCAAGCCAAATAACTTTAACTGAACAAAAGAAGAAAATGGAAAACACGTATAGGAACAAATAGCCAGACAACCACCACCACCTACACAATTGGTCTCTTCTTTGATGATTAACAATTATCTTATTGATAGTAGACAAAGAAATGAGCTATTTATCACATGAAAACTTTTTAAGTTGAGGCTTGCAGATCATACAGACATCAATTGCATTGTTCAATAAGAATCGATATAAATTGAAAATGTTGAATGCATACCAAGAATTCCAGTGTAGTAGGAAAGTGGGACATCCATGTGCTCAATTTTTAAATGTATTTGAGTTGAGGGGACCAAGCTATAATCTTCCCATATAGTAGAACCGTATATTAAATCACCTTTCTTATAATCAGGGGGTCCAGATTCTAGGACTTTAGCCACCCCAAGTCCTGTTAATGGTTGTAATCACTCAACTGTTAGAAGGTGCATAAATTTATGACTAATATGTATTTTCAATTAGAAAAATTGACCCGTTCCTATCTTATGCTGTTCAAAGAGAAGCCTAATATGATGTACAAAACTTTTCCTTTTAAAATTGGGCCTTTGAAAATTAAACATTATGTTAACTAGGGTTGTGCATGGGTCAGGTCGGGTCAGGTTTTTGTCCGACTCGACCCAACTTGGTTTTTATAGGTTAGGTATTTTGACTTGACCCACTTTAATTTGATCAAAGTCAGGTCTGACTTGGTTTGGATTTTGTTGAACTAGTTCAGAACCGGGTCAGATCTGACCTGACTTGGTTTTTGAAGTGGGTCTGACTTGGTTTCTGAAGTGGGTCAAATCTGACCTGACCCGTTTTTGACTTGGTTTCCTCACAAAATTTCGTCGAAATTTCTACGTTGCAAATGACGAAAATTTTGTCACAAAATTATTTTTTCGTCGGAATACTTTTTGTTGAAAAGTGACGAAATTTTTTCTCTAATGAAAATTTTTACAAAAATAAATTTTCTATAGAAATTTAGTTTTAGTCAAAAAATTTGACGAAAATGATTTCTTCCATCAAATCTTGTAAACGAAAAAAGAATTCTGTCAAAAATTTTGACGGAATATTTTTCGTTCAAAATTTTGATGGGAATGTGTTCTGACGAAAATTTCAACGAAAATTATTTCGAGGGAAATGTTTAATTCGAAACTTTCGACGAAATTTAGTTTTTTTTGTCTTATGTTTACTGTCTAACTATATAAAAAATATATATGTATATAGTAATCCAGATGCAACTATAAGATTCCTTTTTGTGGCAAACAATTATATTAATATCTCATTACTTTCTACATGGGTAATTGTTAAGCCTATTAATAATACCACTATTAAATCTATTAATAATATTTATTATTATGTCTATTTGAATTAATTAATTTTTTGGATATACAAACAAACCAATGATTATTAGGATTAATAATACCACTATTTCACAAATTACAATTGCAATAATATTTCAGTTTAAGTTAATTTATAAAAATATGATTTATATATCTTTATTTTGATATCAACAAAATGATTTTGTTATCAATACTTTTAAACTATATATATTTCAGTTCAAGTTAATTTATAAAATTATGCTATTCTTATTAAAAAATTATTCAAGTAAAAATATTAAATGCAAGTTATGTACACTAGCAAATATATCATGTATTATATGTACATTTTTATTATTATTTTTAAATATAAAAATATATTACATGCTCATATAAAACATCAACAATTAGAGGTGGTAAAATAGGCTCGGCTCGAAGGGCCGGCGTACCTTACCTGCCAAATAGGAGAGTTCGCCCGCCAACACTTTTTTTTTTTTGTATTTATTGTCTAACAAACCCATCTTTATATATACTAGAAGATATATCATGTATTATATGTATATTTTTATTTTAAATACAAAAATATAAGTAAAAAATATATTTAAGTTTTTGAGAGAACAAGAAGTTTTAATATAAACAGTACAAATTTTTTAATTGAAAGTACATGCAAATGCAAAAATGCTGACAGTTAGAGATTACAAAATGAGCTAGGTCCGGAAGGGCTGCCACCCCGCCCATCAAAACATTGTTTATATATATTTATTGTCTAACAAACCCGTCTTTGTATGTCTAAGATCATTGAATTTACCGCTGATATAAAATACTGACATTTGGAGGTGACAAAATGGGCTCGGCCAAACTAAATTATAAAAATTTAATAACTACAAAAAATGAATGTAAATAGGAGAAATTAAAAATATTTAAAGATTATTTTAAATTTTATCCAAAAATAAACAGAATAAGTTTTTTTTTAACTTATGCTATTATTACACTTATATAAAAAAAAATTAGTCATGATATCAAATTGTTGAGTAATACCAGCTAATTATTTGGAAAGTAAAACCAAATGATTGAATATATATACTTAAAACCAAAGTAAAATTATTTACCAAAAAAAAAAACAAAGTAAAATTACACTTATAGTTATATTTAATTTTTACAAATTATATGTGACTTTAAAATATAAATCAGACATATCTTATTATTTTTAAATATAAAAATATATTCCATGTTGATATAAAATATACCTTACTTGCCAAATAGGAGTCGACTTTTTGACCTTTTTGCTCCTCATTAATTAATTAATAACCAATTTTCCCCTCCCCCAGAACTATCCACCATCCTGCCCCCATTTAGTCGATCAACTTGAACTTTTAGTCGACTAAATGGTCAAAATTCGGAAAACATGAATCTATGGTGTCGACATGGACCAGGGACAACCATCATTATGGTGTCGACACTTCATCACAAATCTATGGTCATCACTTTTTGCCACCACAGCAGTACGATGAGCCTTCATACAATATAATTTGACTGCATGTTGCATTTCAGATTTAGTTCGAAACTCCTAGTACAAATATAATGGATCCCCTAATTGCCAGCCACCATGGAAGTCATCGTCGCCATACAATATCTCTGTTTCATCATTAAGGCGAGCCCAATTAATGAAGGAATAATGTGGGCTTTCGTTCCAAAACGGCTCAATCTCGGAACCTACGTCCAAATTATAGGAGTTATCCGTCAGTACGAATGATAACACAAATATGAAATATTCATTTAAAAAATTTAATTTACTATCTTACCACTGCTAACAGGGTCAACACAGAGTGGTGGCATAACCTGGGAACTCAGGTTTCCTGAACTTGTGTCAGCGTCAAAATTCCCCTCTACGTCCGTATCTGAGGTGTCACCCAGCAGAATAACACTCTCGGGTTCACCGTCGTCTTCACTGTCCATATCCTCCTCATGCTCATCCTCATCCTCGTCTATTTACCTTAGTGTTATCTGACTTGAGACAGGTGCAGGTGCAGATAAACCGACCACTCTGTCTTCTTGACTTTGACTTCTTTCATGCATAGGTGCAGATGAAAATTGACCACAGTCTATTTCAACATATATCTCAATAAAGTTTTGAAATTTTCGGTCCACAATTGCATCTGTGACACATTCCACATCTTCATCGTCACATATATCATTACCAATGTAGAATATAGCATCCTTACCAACTGTAGACTCTACCCTGGCGATCATCCGTTGAACGCACTGGCTGCCTTGTAGCCCCAATTTTTTGTGAATCCTCCCTTTCAGCTCATTGTACGTAGTGCCTCGTTTGATTTTCAACAATTTAATTTTTCTTCAAATTGAACACCGTTGGGACCTTCAAATTGAACACCGTTGGGGGAAACAAATGAGAAAATAAGGGGAATGACAATAATTTCATAATTACTATGTTTTAGGGATGGTGGGATGAAATGGAATCGTTATTGGAAGGATCACAGCTGACAAACAAGAGATAGAGAGGGTACAAAACGAAAATATTGCAAATGAGACCGAGAGAGGGCTGGATATAGGGTTTTCTGCAACTTTTAATCGACTAAATAATGTCCTTAGTCGATTAAAAGTGCTCGAAATATAGTCGATCAAGGTGAGGATGTAGTCGACTAAAATTCGTGATTCATGTTTTCTGAATTTTGACCATTTAGTCGATTAAAAGTTCAAGTTGATCGATTAAATGGGGGCAGGATGGTGGATAGTTCTGGGGGAGGGGAAAATTGGTTATTAATTAATTAATTAATGAGGGACAAAAGGGTCAAAAAGCCAGAGTTCGCCCTCCAACACCTTTTTTTATTATATTTACTGTCTAACAAATTCATCTTTATATATACTAGCAAATATATCATGTATTATATGTATATTTTTATTTTTATTTTAAATACAAAAATATAAGTAAAAAATATATTTAAGATTTTGGGAGAACAAGAAGTTTTAATATAAAAGTACAAATTTTTTAATTGAAAGTACATGCAAATGCAAAAATGCTGACAGTTAGAGGTGACAAAATGAGCTAGTTCCCGAGGGGCGGCCACCCCGCCCGTCAAAACATTTAATTTTATTTTTTTTCTATTTTTCGAGCCAACCCACGAGCCAACCCTAACCCGACTCAGGTCAAGTTGGGTTGAATTTTCTGGCTCGTTTATGTTTCGAGTCAACCCTAACTCAGCTCATTTTTTTCGGGTTGAATGCGAGTTGGGTCGGGTTGAGCCGGGTTGGCCCGTTTTGCCAACCCTAGTATCCCGCATCAAAGTTCATCAGATCCCGCTGCAGATTCATCTCAGATCTCAACTGGAGCAGGTTCAACCGTGTGTGATCAAATTCATCATCTCTTAAACTGATCATTTTCTATTTTATAATTAATATTGTTTCCATGTTTTTTAATCAACCAACTACCGGCTAATTAATCTATTTCCTTATTTTCTTATTTTATGCTTGTGATTTACTTTTTCTTATTTGCTTGTTTCCTGTATTTGGTGATTTCATGCTTTAGGTTTATGTTTCCTTATTTTCCTATTAATTTGCCTCCTTTTATTCATAATTAGTTAATGACTAGATTTTATTCCATTAATGCTATTGAGGCCATTAAGTGCCTTGAAGAATTCGAATTCATTTGTAAAGAGATATAGATAATGTTAGTTAAAAAATATTATTTTATTTTCCTTACATTTAGAATTGGTTGCATTGCATTTAGTTTGGCATGGTTATCAAAATCCCTAGTCATTTTATATAAGCATACAAATTTTTTTAAATAATATTTGCTTTGAAGGATACTTGTGATACCGAAATTGTGTAAAATATATGCATCAATGTAATTCTTAAGTATATCACAAGTCTCCTAACAAAGAGATAAAATAAAGTATTGATTAAGGCAATTCTGTTAAAAAATATTTGATTTAAAGTGCATGAAATTTATATTAGAAATTTTTTCAATTTTGTGTTTGTCTTTACTCGCCCAACCCCCTAAAGTAAGAAACTACAGCAATTTAAATGAGAGAAAGACTTGTATGAAATGATTATAAATTTTATTTAATTGTCTTAAACGTACG